AGGCCTTTCAGGAGAAAGACATACAAATACCTAAGCAATGAGACTTGAAGACCCCATGAAGGTGACTTCTACTGGCTATCACGAAGCTTCATCAGTATACAGCCTACCAGCATGATGAAGGTTGCCATCCTCGCTTCTCTTAGTGGCCTCGTCGCGGCCGTCGACCTGAGCAGCCAAGACTTCGGTATAAGCATCAACGATAAGACCGGCGCCATCGACAGAATCACCGACCCCCGCTTCGACGATTTCATGAACTGGGTGAGTACCGGCTCCAACGCACCCTGGCTCCCGACCGGCAGCCGCTGGAGTCTAGGGTACGCCGATCTGGGCCAAGATTATCTCCATCGCAACTTTTGGAACTTCCCCCAGGTCACGAAGCGTGACAACACTGTAGAAGCAGTGTATAATGCTGGGGCGCTTGAGCTCCTAGTCGGCCGGAGCATCACAGATGAGAATCGGTCCTTCACTGAATCATATACTTCACGAACAAAGGCGCCTCGACGCTGAAACTGGACAGCCGAGGAACAACATCTTTGGCCATCTATGCCCCTTTCAATGACCATTATACAAACACAAGTGATTGCGTCAAGCCTCGCTCGCATGCGCATGTTTGGGCGTTTGGGGGAGCTTCTTCCTGGGTTAAGCTGAGTCAAATGGGCGGCAAGTATCGAAATCTCGGGTTTGTCCTGACAGAGGGCGCATTGGTGGGCTACAGTATCGAGGCACGCGACCCCGTCTCACTGTCTAACACGCGTGGCGTCTTCCTAATTCATCCTTCTATTCCTACGCTGGAGCCGGGCGCGTCGAGCACGATCGCGTGGACGTGGTTCTGGCATAGCGACTGGGACGACTTCTTCGAGCAGAGCGCCGCTCGCTCCGAGCAGTTCGTGAGGGTCGAGACAGATGACTATATTTCTATCACCAGAGAGACGGGTTCTATCTCTCTCACCGGTGCTTCTGTCAATACCAACACGAGGGTTAGCGGCCAAGCAGCGCAATGCGACGACAGCAAGTGTCACTACAATTTTACAGCCGGGCGTCCGGGCCGGACGAATCTTGTGGTCACCAGGGACAATGGCTACAATTCCACAATCTTCCTCAACACGGTCCCGGAATATGACGACCTGATCTACAGCCGCACCAAATTCATTATCGAGAACCAGCAAGACAATACGCCCGACACGCCCGCAGAGGGAGCCTATCGCGTCTTCGACAACCAAGCCAACGTCCTCGCGACATGGGACACATCTACAGACCGAAACCCCGGCCGCGAACGCGTGGGTATGGGCATCCTCATGGCACGCTGGCTGAAGAAGAACCCCGAGAATGTCGAGGTTCGAGAGTCGCTGGAGAAGTATTACGCTTATGTCTCGACCAAGCTGCAGGAGGAGAACGGGTTCGTCCGTGATAGGCCGATGGGGATAGAAGGCAGCAAGAAGCGCCTGTACAACTGGCCCTGGGTTCTCCAATTTCACATCACAGTTGCTGCTCTGGACCTCAACTTGACCGGAACAGTTGCGAAGAAGACGCCTCTGGAGCCTTTCATGCTCACCCTGGAAAACTTCTACGCCGAAGGCGGCGACGAGTTGTACGCCATCGGCCTCCTTATTCTCGAAACTCTGCGCGCGCTCGAGAAGCACGGAAACGAACAATGGCTAGAGAGGGCTCAAGAGCTTTTCCTCGCCCACGGACAAAACATCGCGGCACGCGGGCTAGACTATCCGTCGTTCGAAGTCAACTTTGAACAATCCGTTGTCGCCCCCGCTGCTGCGATACTCCTTGAGCTCTGGCGCTACACAGGCAATGACAAGTGGCTGGACGCTGGCAAACTACACCTCAAAATCCTCCTTCATTTTGAGGGCAAACAGCCCGACTACCGCCTTCACGACGTCGCGATCCGCCACTGGGACGGTTACTGGTTCGTTAAGGACCGGATGTGGGGAGATACATTTCCTCACTACTGGAGCACGCTCAACGGCATCGCGCTGCATCACTACCGCAAAGGTCTAAAGAACGATACCCAAGGTCAAGGGGCGGCTGCCTTGAAGACTGCTAACAGTATCATAAGAAACAATCTTGCTTTGTTCGAGGCAAACGGGCGCGCTCCGTGTGCCTACATTTACCCGACCTCCGTCAACGGCCGCGCTGGGAACTACAAAGATCCGTATGCAAATGATCAGGATTGGGCGTTATCTCACCTCTTGCAGATTGAAGAAGATGACGCCTTTGATGAGGAGTGAGTAGGTACAAAACCACTGAAGAGATTTTACGACAGGTCACAGAGTATGTTTAGACGATGAAGTTAGTCTTCTTAGGCACTTTGCTCGCAAAACTTTAAAAACAAGTAAGGTGCCTCAGAACAGGCAATAAGGAACAACCTGGTTACGTATTGTTAACAGCTGGGTGAGATTGCCTTTGAATCTTGACCTGTGAGAACGAGCTGGCCGTTGGAAGATTTCAGGAATACGGTTCAATGTTTTTTGTATCTACTGCAGCTATAATTTCAACTACAGGTCGATAAGTCAAGCTCAAGATGCAAATATAAGAAGTTTTGGTACAAGATCGTATGCCAAACTGAGATTCTCGAGTTGCAGCAAGTGTAATATGCCAGTCGGGTCTTTTGCTATTGTCGCAATGACAAGATATTGCATCCAGACAGTTGGCATTACTACCAACAGGTAGAACACTACGATCGCCAGCTTCCATCCGAGTCTTAACAGTGCCTCCCTTTTCTTCTTCTCGTCTCCTCCCATAAGGACAGACCCTTTGTCGTCATGTTTACATAGAGAACGTGTTTTTTTAATGATGATGATGCATACACCAATGAAAATCATCACCCAGACACTATCAAAGATAAGGATATCCTTGGTCTGGCGCTGAAGCTCAGCACCGACTGGTTCGTGTTCTAAGATGACGGATAGAAGTTTGTAGATGGGAAGGAACATCAAGCCATACCCAGGCAGTAGATTAAGCATGGAAACCAACAACGAAACCTGAACGTTCCGATCTGGTAGGGGGTCCAGGGAATCAGCTGCTGATTTCTTCTCTAGTGGTGCGCTTGTTCCTTTCTCATCGGATTCCGTCGTTGGTTGGACTTGTGCAGCAGATGTGTTTCTAGCGAAACCTGAGAGAAGGCTTGCTTTTTCCGTATTTCTTTCGATGCCGGAGTCCGCTTCGGTTGTTGAATCGATGGATTTTGAAGATTTTGAATCAGTTGATAATCGGTAAACAGTCTCAAGGCCGAGTTCGGTTTCGTTGGCCCTCGCGACTTCCTCGTCCTCTCCTTTCTCAGATTCTTCATCTTTCTTCTTCTTGGAAAATAAGACGTTTAAGAGTCCTCCCAGCACTATCAAATGATTGGTTGCAACGGTCATTGTGCTTCCCGTCATTAGACCTCGCATGGCCCTTGACTCCGTGAGAGGCAGTGTTATGAAGACCATTAGGATTGGACTCGCTACCCAGGTGATGGCAAAGTAAGCGCAGATAACTTTCTTCCATCGTAGCTTTCCAGTGGGATTGAGAGGGGGTCTTCCAAGGAGGAGCATGCAGCATATGTACAAGCTAATTGCTGTATTGACGAAGGCGATGTAGTTAACCGTAAGATAGATAACAATGTCGTAAGCTTCTCTCAAACTTAACTAAGTCTGAAATCTCGCGAGTTGAGTCAGCTGTTGTTGAAGTCGTCATGCTGAGATTTGATTGAAAAGGACTTTTCATTGAACCCCAGCATTGTTGTTGGATGAGCGGCATCAAACAATCGAATAGAAGTTAAGCAGTGTCCAAGAAAATGTTCGTTGCGAGTCATCTGAGATGCAAGCGCCAGAAGTACATGTAAGAATGCCAGAGCTATTTCGTCTCTTTCAAGGTGTGACATGCTGATTCACCTTACAGCCTAGCAAAATGGCCGAGGCTGACTATCTAGTCATCTAATACCCATACTTAGCGATGATCAGCCTATGGTCAATCCAATGAACAGGCAGCCACGCAGCCAAGAAGTCATCGCCGCAAAAAAGTGGAATCTTTCGCCCTGCACCGCCCGTCCTCTCGTTGTTGTAAATATGCCCAGCCAGCCTTGGCTAAGGTAGTGGAAGCTATAATCTGAGGCTATATCCGATTGAAGCTATATCATTATTCGAGCCTTCCGAGACATTTTTCATCGACATGGTAAAATTAGAAACATGATACCTGCCAAAATTCACCTACTCCCTCTGATTACGCCGCTTGAGGTAGGATAATTCATTAGACATGTAGCCATCTAGCCTCTGTATCAATACCGGCTCAATCTTTCACCCTTGCTGTCTCGTGTTCTCGCAGTTTCTTTATCCCAAGTTAATTAAAGTGACACTACTAACAGGCCAGTACGAACAACTTAGACAGAATCAAAGTCACCAGGCTGAGATTAGAGACATCTCCAAGATGCGTAAGCCCGTGGGTATCCTTCGCTGCCGCAGCAAGCACAAAATATCGACTCCAGTCAGTAACAAGCCCAGCCAGTACCCCAACAGCAAAGAATGCTGTTTCCCTCACTTTTTTTGCTTCTGCGGCGCGCCTCTTTTCTCTTTCCTCGCTGTTGACGCTCTCTTCGTCTCGAGACTTCGCAGCATCGTGGGAGAAATAGTTGAGGATGCCGGCGATGTTGATGACGAGGATCAGCCCATAGACAATACCGAAGAGAATGAGGCTGTCTCTCGTTTCGCGCTGTTGTCTTGTGTCGTTGTTCCCTCGGTCTACAAAGATGCACTTCGCAAGGCGTATGGCGCCCCATAACATTATCTGGTGGCCGGGGGACAAGACTGCCAGACCCATGAACATACTGGCAAGTCCCTGTGCCACAGTTTCCTCCTTTTTTGGAGTTTCTGCGCCGGTACTTTCAGTTGCGGAAACTTCTTCGGTTTTCTGCGCTCCAGGGATTTTGCTGGTGAAACGTTCCAAGAACCCGGTCTTTTCTGACGTTGATACAGCTGTACTCGTTGAGGTGGTCGACCGTACGGACTCCGTGGAGGGACGAGGAGAAGCATTGTACTGAGCATCGGTTGCTATAGTTGTGCCGGGATTCCCTTCAACAATCTGACCTTCGCCCTTCTTCGCGTTCTTCTCCCTATCGTCCATGGCGTTGCTCTTCATCATACAAAGAACGGCCCCCTGTATGATGACAGTAGCAACGACGTGTCCGATCGCAATGAGCCTGAGGTTTCGGTTTTTCATCTTAGGGACTTTGATAGCCACAACAGCCACCAAGAAAATGGCATACGCGAATCCCCCAAGACAGACAAGTGTCTTGTGCTTGAGCTTCCGTTTTGGATTGATGGGGGCATTGCCGGACATGATGCAGAACCAAGTGTAGAATCCGATGACGTTGCTGAGCCACGCAATGGTGCCATAGGATAAGAAAAAGTGAGGAAGATCACCATCGATGGAGAATGTGCTTCCCATAGTCATGTCGCATTTGACGTTTCCGTTGTTGTCGTCGACGCAGATGGATTGATAACTGTCGGTTCCACAGACCGTCACGAGTGAGCCCGCGTAGTCGATGGAAGAACACCCTTTCGTGCCGTCAAACATTCTGAATCAAAATTTGTTCAATCTTTCAAGTGTAGTTATTTAAAAGGTTTGACCTGATGTGAAAAGAAGGAGACTTGAGGGTTTTAAGCAAAGAATCTTGCGCTCTGCTCCAATCTTGGCATCGGGGGTCAGCAACCTCTATCAATGCTGCGCCAGTCAGCCCACCGCCCGACAATAGGAACGTGGTGATCTTCAAGGCAGAATCAAGTCTACTTCGTGTTGCCTAATCCGAATTTAAACAGTAGCCAATAGTGGTAGTCAGAAGACGACAAGTATCGGCTGTGGCGGGAGATCGACGACAATGAAACTCGCTGACCAATGGCGGATCGCCCAACTTTACCAATCAGGTATAAAGTCCATCCTTCGACGCAGTTCGCCCTGTTCCAAGCATAGGTACCAGTTAGTTGAAAATCGACATCTGGTAATCCTACTCACTCGTAAGCCTCGACGAGACATTAATGTCTTATCTACTCTCGGTGCACGGCCACTGGTAAAGCAAAATACGAAGACTACTTCAGTTGGTAACAATCTATAGCAGGACATTGAAAGTGATTGTCAGGTCTAATTTCACTGGGAGGGATTGATGGGCGCGCAAGAATATTTCTAAGGAACAGCTCACATTACCTAACTTTGAGTTGGTGGCAATTGTTCATATGCTCACGTCACAAGTTCAAGTCCAACACCACATGTAAATACAAAAACACTCTCCCATGATACAATATTTGAAACAGCATCTTTAGGAAGACTTAATATATCAACGGCTGATATGGAATATGACTAGAGTTGAAGCAGAAGTGGAAAGGTGAAATGGCAACCCAATCGTTGCGTTCAACGTTGTGTATTGTTGTATAGTATCATTGTTCATGTTCCCACTGATCTCTTTAGAAAGCCTATTCTTGAAGGGTTACTCTACCCTGTCCACAAAATGATCCTCATCCCAAAAGCAACTTACCCTTAATGAAGAATGAACTCACGTGGACGGTGAATGACAGCAACCTCTAGCTTAGTACATGTAACCGGATAACGTTGGAGGCTGGAAAGGCAGGACTGCACGACATCTTCTTATCCGATTAGCGAAAGACCCTTACAGCCTCGACGACTCCGCAGTCTAGTTCGAAGAAGCGGATCGAAGCTCGCTCCTGGTGGTGCCAAGAGAAGCTCGCTTTCGCGTTGCGCGGCGCATTCCGCGGAGCCGAGCGAGTAAGTGGATAGTACACATGAACTACTAAAGGTTTAAACTCCCTTGCCCTGGCTCTTCTCTAGTAATACTGTTGGAACAGCAAAGGCTGATAAGGAGCAATGGGAAGGTACCATGGGCTGGCTGGCACCTGCCCTGGGCGAAGTGGGACAACTGGCTTAGTCATCACGGCCGGATAAAGGTGGGGCAACCACCCAGGCCGTCACTACCTACTTCGACCGACTCCTGCCTACAATGTAAGATAGAACAACAACAAGAAGAACAAGCAATAGGATCACCAACAGACGAGTGATAATTGCTACCACTATTTGTCGTATACGACCCCGTGAACCAACAAATACCTTAGCTATCACCCTCGTATGGTAGCGTTCTTCCACTGAGGCAAATTCCCGGGTACAATATCGCTTAGCAACCGCACGCCCATCAGAAATTTTGTCGCAGTAACTAGTCTTACTGTATTAATCCCATCACTTAGCCCTGTTGCGTGCGCCGTGCATTGCCTGTGCTTCACTAAACCAATCATCTTCCCTTCCAGTCGTGCCTCTGCATGGGAAAATGCGCGTCGTCCCTCGTATATTCAGGCCTATGTCGAGCGTGCCAACTCATAGAGTAAATGGTGTGTGCGCGACATCCCTGAGGTCACTTGGTCTGGGTTATTCTGTCTTTTATATCAGCCAAGGAAGTTTGAAAGCCGTTTGCGGTAACCTAATCTAATATGCTTTCGTATAGTCTCCATATGATCCTTCATTGAGTGTATTCAATTGAGCAAGGTTTCTGACCTGTCCTAAAGTCATGGAAAATCTGCCGAGAATTCGAGAACGACTTTGATGCAGTGAGGTGTATTCACGCAGCTGTCAGTCGGAAAAGTACAAAATGCCACCACGCTCTTATGTTGAAGTCTTAAGAAATTTCCTTCTGCCTGTGTACTTTTACTCATCGACAGAATATCATTGGCCAACCTTGCCTCTTTCTTATCTTAGCCACCATGAGACTCACTACTCTTCTCTTTACCGCGACGGCGAATGCATTCCTCTTGAACTGCAACGGCGGAACCGCTGGCGACGGAGGCTGCGAGGCAAACGGCCTTCACACATACTGCGTAAGCGCGGCCTAACTGCTTTTGGGTCCAAACAGCCTACTAAAATTCCTATATAGTGCAACGAGTTTTTCGAGCCTCCGGTGTACATTAACGTTCGCGACGTCACCGTTCTGTCCAAGAATCCTCAAGGCAACAGTGACTGCAAGCCGACGGGTACCAACACGGCCGGAAGGGTTTTCTGTGCTGCATGAGCTCGGCTCGGTGAATCACGTGGATGGGATGATTAGATGACAATGTTCTTCAGAATCTGTCGCAGCGCCACACGTGGCGCTGCCGGTTACTGCCGTACGATACCGCTTTCCACAAGCCGATTACCCGTCTTGTACGGTATATAGATAGGACCCTCATACGGGTCTTTCACTTAGAGGAATCAAGCCACTTTCTACCATACAAGTCTTCCACTTGCTACCTCGCTTTGTGATAGTTATGAGCCCAGCTCTGACTTGACCACAAGCAACAGAAACCCCTACTATTGTGAAGCAGGCTGCAAGTGCCTACTCTCTCTCTCACATACCCCTTCTCGTACAAAACGAAACCATCGTACACGCAACAATGACTACAGTCTCGCTCCCTACCACCAGGAAGCTCAACAGTCCTATGACTATCAATGAGGACTGGCTTCCGTGGTGGAATTCCCTTCGCATTTCGGCTCGCGAACGAGCCGTCTGGAAATATATCGACCCCGACGGCACCGACAGCATCAATTTAGTACGATTACTTCCGTCAATCGACCGCTATGTCCAGGAACGCAACGTACTAGCCGAAGCCGAATTCCTTAAGGCGAAAGCAGACTACGATCAACTCGCAGACAAGACAGGCCATACAGAACCTGCTAGATCACCTCCACACCAGACGAGTCATATCAACATCGTGAACGAATACGTCCTCCTCATTCAGAGCCAAGCGATCGAAAACGGAGATCTCAAGCAGCAAAAGAACGATCTGAACCTACTGTCAGCATGGGTTGAGGCTACCGTCGCGTCGGATATCCTCCAGCCCATCCGAGCTGAGCTCGCCGACAGGAATGGAGACAAGAAACTTGAGCTACGCCAGACGATACAGGCCCTCAAGGACAGGTTCGCTCCGTCGAAAGACGTATCCATGGATCTCGCTCGCGAACGATACCTCAAGGCGATGAATCTCGCAGCGTCGACCGCAGACCCAATGACCTGGCTAAACGAGTGGTACGGCGCCTTTCTGAACGGACAGGCCCATTCCATACCAGAGGTTGAGGGATCTCTCGCGGTCAAAACGTTCTTGCGAGCCATCCAGCAGCGAATCGCCACATCCTGGGCAACCAACGAGCTCAAAGACATCCATAAACAGGAGCGCCTTCAAACGGGAGTACGTTTGACCCTGAAGCAGTACGCGGACCTTCTCGGAGACCTCCTACGGACAGACCCGCCGAAGCTCCGTAAAGCGACAGGGGCATATGTAACGCTTGGCAATCAGACAGAGCGATCAAACAAGAGACCCAACCAGAAGTGCCCCTGCGAGCGTAACGTACACCCATGGACCCCGGCCGAGTGCGGATTCGTCGAGTACGCCTACCGCGGCAAGTCAGCGGCATTCCGAGGAACTCTGAGCGACGAAACTCGAGCAGCTATCAGAAAGCGGGTCGAAAAGGGGCAATGGGACGATCTTCGTAAGACAATCAAAGCGAAGGGGTGGACCAAGGGACAGGGGAGCGAGTCGTCTATCACCGAAAGCTTGCCAACAAAGTTTGTGGCAGTGACGATCTTACGGAACGACTTCTCTTCATCCCTGGTAGCCTCAACCCCAGTCGTGCGAGGTTCGTCTCTTGGCGTATTCTCGACTCCGATTCAACCCGCTCACCCACTGCGCGAATCTACTGTACTGGATAATTGCGGAGGAACCCATCTTGTGAACGACAAATCCCTGCTCGAACCAGGCTCTCTCAAGCCTCCAGGAGACACGCACTTTGTTGAGTCCGGAACGACGGCGTACCCCATCGAGGGATACGGCACGCGCGTGATGAAAGGCGTACTAAACGGCATTGACCTCGTGCTAAAGGACGTCGCGTATGTGCCTGGATTCCACGTTAACATCGCGTCGGAAGGACTGATTAGACAAAAGAGCGGTCTCTGGTATACGGGATTCGACTGCTCGCTGCGCTGGGGACCGATGGAGAAGCAAAACAACACGATTCTCAAACTCCAGCGTGAAGGAAACCTAGTCTTGGAATACAAGCCGATCTCCCCCTGCCTACAGTCTCCTACGATACGTGACAGACCACCGATCAGCCTCGCGGGAATAACGCGAATCGACGTGTTCTCAACCTCGTTCCGTACCTCCCGTCAGCCTCCACCGGACCGCGTAGACGACGGATGGCTTTGGCACCTTCGTACCGGACATTAAGGCCCTAAAGCGCTTTCTCACCTCGCCACCAACACTCGGGGGGTGAGAATCCGTGGTCCTACTCGTATTGAATGCGAGCACTGCGCGAGAGCACACGCCAGCCAGGTTATATCGCGTCGTACGTCAGAACGACGCTCAGTGAGACCGTACTACCGCATCTCATGGGACCTATTTGACTTCACCAGAGGCTTTGACGGCTCTGAATGGCTCCTCCTCATCCGAGACGAGTACTCCGGACGTATCTTCGGCAGCCCACTCGCGAAGAAGACCCACGACGAGGTGTTTACCATCCTAAGACGCTTTGAGGCATGGGTCAGCACACAGCGAGGCCTCCAGATCTGTAAGATTCGGTCAGACAACGAAACTGCGGTTATTGGGATCAAGGGAAGTACAGAGTACGAACGTTGGGCAGCAGACCAAGGGATTGAGCTCGAGCTACCTCCACCCAACACGAAGGAACCTGTCGGCAGTGGCGAACGAACCGGCCTTGAGATCATCACAAAGATCGTCAAGATGCTAGACTCGTCTGGTCTACCATACGAGCTGTGGCCAGAAGTCGGATTCGCAGCTATATACACATACAATGCGAGTCCAATCCAACGGAACGATTGGATATCTCCAATTCAGACAGAGGAACTCTGGTTCCGACAGTACTTCCGGTGGTGGGCGCCAGCGTACGCAGCGGCGCTCACAAGAGATCTGCGACCACACTGGGGCTGGACCTACGCATACGGCTGTAGAGCGTACCCGCTCATGAGCGAACGAGAGAGAGGAATTAACAGAAGAAGATTCAAAGTAGAACCACGCGCCCATATCGGATACCTCGTAGGGTATGTGCAGAACGCGCACAACCTCTACAGGATCTGGGTGCCCGCGCTGCGAAGGGTTGTCATCACACGGAACGTCAGATTCGACGAGACGAAGTTCTATACAAAGAGCGACGCCAGCGAAGCAATCCAACAAACCGAGGCACAAAACGTGGTCTCCGTCATCCAAGAAGAGGACCACGTAGCCGACGCCTTCGCCGACATGCTCGGAGTAATCAGAACGATCCAACTGACCTCCAACACGACACCCTCACAGCCGCAAGCTGAAGCCCCTCATCCCCTGCCAATAGAGAAAGCGGTACAGGACGCTGTCCGCTCGAACGATGGTCAGGCGGAACGAGGGCAAACAGGGTTCCTAACTCCCGAGTCAACACCGGCCCCTGAGGACGTACAACCTCTCGCCGAGTTGACCGAAAATCTCTCACTGAACGAGGTACCCGAACACGAAAGTGAACGGGCAGTGGAACCTCGCGATGGAGAAGACGTCAAAGGCCAGTACGACGTGTCGGAGCCAGGGCACGTAGAAGAACTGGTTGAAGATGTAATTTACGTCCGCGGAAGCTCTCCTTCCGACGACGAGACGGGTCACTCCCGACAGAACGAGCTGGAAGAGTCAGCCTCTCAAGACCTCGCGCGGCCACGCGACGGAACCGAGATCCCACCTCCAGACTCGACGTCTGACGTGCAGCGCGCGCACTCAGACGGCGGCCCAACAAGAAGAAGCGAAAGAGTCAAACGACCTCCCCAACGATTCCACGGAATAGTCGACCAACCCAAGCGGAATAAGAAATCTCGCACCGTAGACTCAGGGGGTGAATCGCCAACTCAAGCCTTCTTCACGCTCCTTCGTGGCGAGCGATACGAGGACTCAATTCTCTCGATGTTCCTGCCTGATCAGCAGCAAGCACGAGACGAAGCCTCATACGGGCACTTCACCCTTCACTCCATGGTGATTGCTGCCATAAGACGGATCGAATGCCGACTACCTCTGCCTCCACTAGGCGTTCGACTCCATAGAGACCACGCCGTACGACCTCCCAACTCTTGGAGAGAGCTTCATAAGCTCCCAGAAGACATCAAACAGTTGTTCCTCGCAGCAGCACGGGAAGAAATTGCCGAGCTGAAGCGAAAGGGCACCTGGAAGGTCGTACGAAGAGAGGACGCGGGCGACTCTAAACCGCTCCCTCTCAAGTGGGTGTTCTCATACAAGTGGGATACAGACAACTACCTCTCACGCTGCAAAGCGAGAATTTGCGTGAGAGGCGATCTCCAACCAAAGGATCCCCTTGAAGACACATACGCCGCAACTCTTGCGGCGCGTACGTTTCGTGTTACCATCGCTCTCGCAGCGAAGTTTGACCTCGAGCTTAGGCTGCTCGACGTGATCAACGCTTTCCTTAACGCGAAACGAGACCCATCAGGCAAACCAGTCGTTTGCGAATTGCCTGATGGGCACAAACTCCATGGCATGGTGGCCACCCTCACACGCGCTCTGTACGGACTGAGGGATGCCCCCCAACTATGGTACACAGAGTTCTCATCAACCCTCCGCAGCCTAGGCCTCGTCCAGTGCAAGGAGGACCCGTGCATCTTCAGGACGACGGACTCGAAGGTATTCGTCGTCTTCTATGTGGATGACATCCTCGTGATGTACCATAAGAAAGACGAACACCTCGGGAATGCAATAATAGACGGCCTGAAGAATGCCTACGAGATGAAGGACATGGGCGAAGCCAACTCGTATCTCGGCATTCGTATCACAAGAGATCGTGCTGCCGGGCACATCTACCTCTGCCACGACCAGTATATCAAAGCAATGGCAGCAAGGTTCGGTCTCGACGACGCTTTCGCACCGGCCACCCCTCTTCCGATGGTCGACTTCGTACCGAACGAGGGAACGGCGACCAAGGCCGAAGTGAAGCTCTACCAAGAGATTGTTGGATCAATCCTGTATACGTCAATAATGATCCGACCCGACGTCGCCTTCGCGGCATCTCTGCTGTCAAGATTTCTTACCAATCCAAGCGAAACTCACATCCGCGCTGCCAAACGAGTGGTCAGATATCTCTACCACACCGCGTACTTGTCGATTCGCTACGGAATGGAAGACGGCGCTCATGTCCTCCTCGCAGCAAGTGACGCTTCGTTCGCTGACGACTCAACTCGTCGATCTTCACAGGGATACATCTTCCTCCTCTTCGGCGGAGTCGTCCAGTGGAAGGCGACGCGCCAAAGTACTGTTACTACGTCTACGACAGAAGCAGAGCTTCTGGCCCTCGAACATACTGCGAAAGAGACGATGGCACTCAAGAGGCTCTTCAGGGATATCACCCTCGATCTCGGCGACGTCTGGAACGTGTACTGTGATAATCAGCAAACGATTCGTCTCGTAGTAGGGGAAGGGGAACGTATCTCAACCCGACTCCGCCACGTCGATATCCAGAATATGTGGTTACGACAAGAGCACGCAGCGGGCAGCTTCAAAGTCGTCTACATGCCAACGAATGACATGCCAGCAGACGGACTTACGAAAAACCTACCACGAGCGAAGTTTGAACACTTCCGAGCACTTCTCAACCTACAGGATGTACGGAACGCATCGCCATGCACACCCAGGGGCCAATTATAACGGAACACAACAACCACGACTATTTACTTTTTCATTTGTACTTACCGCATTCACTACAGATCGTTTTGGAATCTGACGATATCGTATTGCAGCCGCGCCCTCGTTCCACACGGGCGCGACTGAGGGGGTGTGTCGCAGCGCCACACGTGGCGCTGCCGGTTACTGCCGTACGATACCGCTTTCCACAAGCCGATTACCCGTCTTGTACGGTATATAGATAGGACCCTCATACGGGTCTTCCACTTAGAGGAATCAAGCCACTTTCTACCATACAAGTCTTCCACTTGCTACCTCGCTTTGTGATAGAATCTAAAAGTAGACAACAAGCGTACTATTTCTTTCAATGAAGAGTGGTCATTGGACCACTGCCTAGTCTGCCCGTCCAATCGTCAATGGCCTCTACATACTGAACCGTAGTAACGATGATTGCATGAGGATGACAACATACTTACCCATAGCCTGTGGGGTTAAGGAAACTTGATGAGCGAAGAATGTCTGAAGCCCATCAGAGTTTGCTGACATGCTAAGAAACAATAGGAAGGTAACATTGCTACGAGCTCGTATTATTCTAGCCTTTCGCAGGCAAAACTGCACTTCTCGCTTGTACTTTTGCGAACTCATTCAACCACGCCTTAATTATCCAAGAAATCCACTAGACTCAACGGCACAGCAAATCAGGAGTGTGTGGGCCTGGACTAAGGTAGATGCAACCTGTCGTCAACCGCTTAGACGGCAACTAGTCTCGCAAAAGAGGGGTTTTTGGTGACCAATACCGCAAAGATCAGATTTACTGGGCTTTTGAGTTAAACTTCAGTCTCGCTTGTTTGCCCACTGGAATCAATGAAGAAGTTCCATATAGTCCCTTCTCTAAGACAGCGTTGGCTATAGGGTGCAGCCAACTCGCTACCTCAAAGCACTGTACTTCTGGCTGCGGAACATGCAGAAGTTCTCTGCCTTCTTTCTTTCTTGGGAGTCAAATAAGTTTTATTTCTTCATCGGTAGGGACTGGCGCGTTTTTTTCCCTCCGCAAAGATAGTGAAGCCTCGGGCTGCGAAGCCTTCTGCACTTTGAGCGGCAACAGTCCGTTGACACTTCTCAAGATGTATACCGTTGTATTGACATGGTTTTGAAGTAAGCGGGGTATCAGGCAACAGCGGACTGGACCTGCAGGCTGATGGAGAAAACTTGAACTAGACAACTTCAAGCAGAGCCCCTACTTGGATGTCAAGTGACAACCGTGCCCTCATCCGCCTCGGGAACGGACCGAGTTTGATTTCCAGCTAAGCTTTTACAGACCGAACCGATCCAATCGGTTGCAACCGACCTGCGTGGTTTGCTCTGCATAATCGCCCGATCAGCTAGAAGCAAGCCTCCTCGCATCCACATTCGTTTTTTCCTGGTTCTGTTTCCACATTACATGTACATAATGCTTACCAACTTCGTTTTGGCCCATGGCGACAGGGACCTAAAGCAGGCTCTCAAGGTGTTCTTCGCCCGTGCCGTGCTTCTAACAGAGGGGATGCGCCATATCTGGACGATGAATGGCCCGTAGGCTGCAGCCCGTGTTAACCGAGGTGTCATCGGTGGCTACAAACGATCCAAGTGCTGATGGGCTAGGATTCGGAGGGTTTACCGGCAGCCGGTGGGCAAGTTCTGGATCAAGAGTTCGTCATCCGGATCCTAGAGCTTCCCTCTCGTCAAATGTATCATTCAGTTTCTTTTCGTTCTGGTTAATCTCACTCTAGCGGGGGCATGTCAGTCCAGCCTAGAGGTGCGCAGCTTCGCATATCTCCGCTAATGCATTTGAACGGGGGTGGAAAAGAAATCTATAAAAGCCCCCAGCAACTTCAACAAAGAGACTATGTTCTGTCTACCATCATCAAGCTTCTCCAGACTCCAAGTGTAAAACAACGCTCAAATTTTAAAATGCTTTTCAGCCTCTTCTTCCTTTCAGCTCTTGTGGCTAGCTGCTCCGCTGTGGCGATCCCCGGTGAGCACTCTCACGATCACGACCTCGCCATGGACATGTCTCCGGTCCCCCGAGGCGTCCTCGACAAGCGCGACTCGTATGACTGCAAGGGAAGCTCCCTCTGCTCGTCTCTCAAGGTCGCGTCCTGCGACGATGCGGTGAACAATAAGCTCATCCGTAATAACGACGTCAACTATGGCGCTCCGGGGTAAGTTTCGACTGTTCTCGATTCTGTCTTCCAAAGTTTTACTTCACATCCTTTCAACTGGCTTGACAAGGTCATGTACTCAGAGACTAATTGTTACCGCGAACAGGAGTGGAAGACCTAACACGGGAGCTTGCTCCAACATCTTTGGCGGCTACGGATGCGGCGTCTTCATCCAGGGCAAGTCCGGTTGTGCTCGTACCGGCAACCAGATGTGGTATGATTACCAGGATATCCGGGCCAACGGCTGCAGGGTCTGTGGCTCCAAGCACTGGGGCGATGGATGTTTGACCACCATCAACTATGTTTCTGGCTGCTAGTTTTTCCAAGTCTCGGTTATCTAAAGGGATAGCTTGTGTTATTGGCTGATGTACGGTTATGATGGCGACAGATCATCGCCCACGGGTATGTTGGGCTTGGCAGGACGGAGAGCCCTATGTCTGTTTTTATGTATCAGAACAGTCGTTACTTGAATTGTCAAAACATACGCCTGACTTCATTCCGTGACACCTTTCGTACTTATAGTCTGCATAGCAGATCTCGATGTTCAAAGAATTGATGTTCCTAATGTACAAACGTGGACCAAATCCCGATCAGAATGCCCCGTAATGGACTTTTCCTCAAATGACAACTTCGCCGGGTGTTTCATGGTCATCGACCTGAACCGAATCTTCTTCAGGAATACTCGGAAAGTAAAACAAAGTCCAGAACCTCTATCGAATAGTAACAGGATGGCGAGGCTTGGACCGACGCTTAACGACTCCTCCCCCCTGTTTGCGAATTTTTTGCTGTACCAATTGCGCATCCCGCCTGTCAAGGACTGCACGGGTGTGTACGATGATTGGGATATCGACGTCCGCTCTACCACCTTGCGGGAATATTATAGCAGGCGGCGCCATGTTCTGCGGTTCGTCGATATCCATGTTACTTGACCACTGGCGGCGAGGTGCTGTCTGAACACGCGCAGGACGGGGAAGAACTGTTCCTGGAGGATAGTACGGCTCAATCTTCCCTGGGCGCGTCGTCATCCCCCGGCCTTCGAACAGACTGTTGAGCATCCATGCAGCAGAAGCGCGACGGTCCGGCTCGAGCTCCGCCATGGGCGCGAGCTGTTTATGGATTTTGACGGAGTCGAGGAGCAGTGTCTTGGAAATTTTGTAGAGCTCAGACATGCCGTACTTACCACGAGGCGGGAAAGCTTTCATCTTGCTCGACATCGCGACAAAGGCTTCGTAGAGTGACCAAACGTCTATCTTGGGGCTCTGTTGGTAGGACGATTCAGAAAGTCCCGAAAGCTCTGGCCACAGCTCGGGTGCTTGGTACGTGACGGTGCCGCACATTGTTTTCGCGAGCTTTTGGTGATTAGCGAGCCCAAAATCGGCCAACTGGAAGATGTAGCGGCCTGGTGAGACACCGTGATCGTAGAGGATGTTCTCAGGTTTCAAGTCACGGTGTACTACACCAAAGTTGACGAGATAGTCCAGAGCACAGAGCATTTGCTCCAAAATGTCCCGACAAGCTTGTTCGTATTGTGCATCCGGCATCTTGAGGCCGACGAACGTGCTCAACGAGCCAGAGCGATATGGCATTACCATCTCGGGTTCGAGAGTATCAGCCTTGTCGTAGCCCAGAATCTCAATGATATTCACCTTTGTGTGAGATTTCGTTAGCAAAGTCCACCAACAAGTAGAGAACGCAAAAGAGCGTTGCTACGCGGGAGATTTCCCTCTCTTCACGTGTAACATAAGTCAAAAAAGGATAGACTTACATGATTGAGGCTCTGCATGGTTTTGAGCTCTCGGTGGAAAAGGGCTCGAGCCTCGTCTTCCTTATCTTTGGGATAATTGCTCAGATGGACGACCTTTATAGCAAGCGGAGCAGAGATCTCTGCATCAACACTCCTGTACACGGTGCCGAATGTGCCTCTTCCCACAAATTGACGAAGTGCCCTGTTCTCTCGATAAAGTGCCTGCTTCGCTGTCCGTGGTCTTGTGATTTTGTGCGACACTTGCTCTGATCGCTCAAAACCAGTAGGCAAGTCGCGAGATCCCAGGCCCTTCAACATAGACATCTATTGTCGGAAGCAAGCCCATACGAGTTCCTTGAGGCGTTCATTGTTGACATGGGGTGGATCGCGCGAAGAGGAGATTGTCCAGACCAGGTCGAATCGGTACGATGAAATCTGTATGTTGTAGTTTTGCCCGTAAAGCATAACGACCTCTCCATCAACTGCTTTATTAGCGTTGTCGCTTTCCAATAGTGTGCCGCGCTGAGGTCGAAGTCGAGTGTCGACAAGAAGTCCAACAGAGACGGTGGACTCCTGCTTCTTTGACCTGACGGCCAGGTGTATGAGCTTGGTTGTATCTTGGATTCGAAAGCGACGTGCTCCCTGCACATGGGCTCGGAACTGGTATTCCGATTGAGCACTAAATCCCCCTTCCGGCCGAGCCTAGCAATTACATAGCCACCGGTGGACGCGACATGGAATCCAACCTCCAGCCCGGGCTCTTGAAAGGCACTGAGGGAGACAAATCGGCGATTCTCAGGCAGGGAAAGCGCATCTTTGGCAACTGAGTTTCTGGGCACTAGATGAAACAGGGTCCTCGCATTTGGGGAAGCCATTCCGGCGGATCTTCTGACTTGTCAACCATCTTCGAAACTTCTAATTCAATTTGGGTTGCTGCTGGATAAAACTCACGAGATCGCAAAAGAAACTCTATTAGATCTGTGACGAGTTGACTGCCGATGAAGGAGAGAGTGAAGAAAGAGATATTGGCGAGAATAGAAGTATCAAAGGCTAAAATGAAGATATTTATTGTGGGAGATGGAGTGAAGAGAGAGGAAGATCATGGGTTAACAAACATGTCAAGAGTGTTGAGGATGGTATGCTCATCTTAGCCATCTTAAGTAGACAGAACTTCAGAAAAGTCAATCCCTTCGGCTGGGATGGCGGAAACTTGCTTTGCGCATCAAGCCTTTTGCTTCTTTTCTTAGAATTCACAACCAACATCATGCAACAGTAGCACCAACGTCGCGGCAGGTGGCCGAGACCGCGGCCGAGCCAGGCGGCTCGCTTTGAAGTTGGTGATGGAGGCACGGATTGGCTGATGACAAGGATGAAAACGGGGCCACCTAAGCGCGCGGATGGGCCGGCTCTATTTCCGTCGGGTAAGTGTGGGTAAGGTACCCCCGTACGGCCAACGGCGGTTAGTGGGCCTTAGGCACAAAAGTGTGGATACCAAACATCTGCTTAGATAATGGAAGCTGAACTGCTCAGCTCACCTCATTCTCCAATTTCCCCAAGCTCGAGCTCTCGCGCATTCATCTCAACTATTCACGACATGGACCCTGCCATCGTCTAGCTCGCATCCACATCCATGCCCGCAACATTCATCACTTTCTTCTAAAATACCTGTCGTCTTCCAAGTTATGCCGCATTATTTGGACCGAGTCGCGTTGGGCAGAGCTCTGCAGGAGCGCGCGAATCCCCTCCTCGAGGCACTTGCCGCCAATGATGCCTTGCACGCCCATTCTCTCAAGCGCTTCGAGAGCGACGAACCTCCGCAGTATGATTCAGATAGCTCATCAGAATACGATGAAGACGACTCTCTCTCAGAAGATCCCAATACAATCATCGAGCGACCGCTCGACGAGGACGAAATCAAGCGGATTGCATTCGCGTTGGGGCCTCAAGTGAGCCCCGGACAACTCTACCTCTCGGAATCAAAGCGTGAGGAGAAGAGGATCATTGACAATTGCCTCGGCTCAGTCTTTCATAAGCCCAAGGGTATCCGTCGGATAGGGATCGTTGCGCGCCACAACATGAAAAAGCGTTGGGAAAAACTCGGCATCTGGAATCCCGCTTGGGGTTTTGCTGGGCGCAATGTACAGTCCAACGACAACTTTTACGAATGGCGATGGAAGTGGGATAAAGACAACGCAGCGTCTGATCGCCACGAATGGGAAGAGGGCATCATTAAACAGATGCTAATCCTACGAAAGAACTTGAGTCGCGGCGAGCATGTCCCTGTTGAGCCGCAACCTTCGCTCGCACAAGACGCCACAGCTTCTCAGGCTGAGTCATATTTTGTCTCCAGGCCTTGGTTCATGTTTGAGCTTGAATTCACCGAAGAGAAACAACGACTAAGTCGTGTCTCCTTCAAAGACCAACATAAGCTGCCTCAGAATTCAAGCATCGGGCAGGTCATCGAAAGGTGGAAAGAGCGTGGAGACTGGAGGGATGAGTACGATGAAGAAGGTGTCACCTCTTGGAGATGGAGAGGTGAATCTCCCTCTCCTGAACCCGAAGATCTTACGCCCATACAAAACATGGATAGCTTCGATTCGCTGGACGCTACGGTCATCGATTTCACACCTTCGGAGCTCGACGAATTGGAGACCAACGAACTCCCATGGGAGGAACAGCCGGAGACCTACTGGGTTGTATCAAAGGGCATGGAAGATACGCCTGCATTCCCTGGACAGATGCCGGAAGGTCACAGTCACGATCACCATTCCGATCCTATGCCCATCGCGCGGTCGGCTCCCACTGGAGCTCTTGGTTCAAGGAAGGAAACGTCTGAAACCTCAGACGGCAAAATACCGCTCTCTACAGATGCATCGGAACAGAAACCGCTTGAACCGCAGGAACGCGTCTTGAGCCATACGTCACAGAAGGCAAGACGTGGCCCTCCCCGCCAGCCGCAAAACGAGACGAGCATCGCCCACGACCATGACCAGTCCTCCCCGGCACCTCGGCGTAGTGCTAGGATAGCCGGCAAAAAACGCCCAGCCGAATCGGAGCCTACAGAGACGCCATCAAGCAAGAGAACCAGAGGACGGAAAGCCCCGCGTACTGACCAGCTTCCTGTGTCGAACTCAGGGCCAACGAAGAGGCGCTCTGCGCCGAAACTACCACCGCCCCATACAGAGACGAAAGCTGTGCTTAAACGAGGAGCGGGCCGCCCGAAAAAGGAGGCATCGAAACCAGGCCCAGAGGAGACGGTCACCCAGCAACCTAAACGAGGACGAGGGCGAGGGCGAGGGCGGCCTAGCAAGCAAGAGTCGGGGCCTGGCCCATTGCAAGAGAACCCGCTCAAGAAAGGGCGGGGACGCCCGAGGAAGGAAACTGCAGCAAGCACGCGGTCTTCTGTTTCAAAGAAAAAATGAGATTGAGTGAGGGCTTGCAATGAGCAAGCATAAGGTCGGGGCCAAGGATCACAACAAGACTGAGAACGACTCAGGTCGTCATTACTGAGTCGCATTGTAGCGATTTCATGTATATACTATTGGGGTTCTTACATGAGGAGCGTGGGAGGCATGGAATGTTTGCATTAAAGATGGGAGACGCCGAGGACGCGGTGGCTTTCACGTTGAAACCATCTTCAGGCTGAGCGGTGTTGGAGCTTACTTGGCTTCACACATGTACGCTCAAGGGCTACGTTGATAGATCTCTCCTCTTAAACGAGCATGAGATGTGCTCATTGATTATTAAGACGTAAGTTGAAGGAAATGCTTGACACTGGCAGTGATCGTGCATCATCTGTCAAGAATAGGGCCACTGGTGCGGCAGAGCGAGAGATATTGGCAATGGTATCGTGTGAATTCAACAAAAACTAGAAACAGTCCGTAATTACTAATACGTCAAGTATCCTCCACCTTTTCAGTATGTACTGTTCAACCATGTGACCTGAAAAGAAAGTAAAGCATGCCCGATGCCACATCTTCAGGCGACAAAACAGCTGACCCCCTCAATTATTTCTCGCCTCCCTCCCAGGTGCGCATGTCACCCTTCACCTCACGGAAAATGCCACGCCAGTTTCCAATCTCGTTCTCCGTGCGCTTACGCCTGCTGAACGCAGTACGTCTAAAGCTCACAAACCAAACCATGAACCAGTACGACGCCGCAGCCATCGACGCAACCGCCGCAACCCACGACATGGCTACAAACGGACCGCCCGTCTGAATTTGCATACTAAACGCAGACATGGACTTGTTGAGCATGCTCTTGCCGCCGTAGATGAGCGAAGTCGCGACGATCGCAAAGGCGGGGAGGACAAAGGAGCCGAGTAAGGAGAAGACGAGCGAGACGAGGACGAGGACGCGAAGGAAGCCGACGATCAGGATGGGGAGCGTGGCGAGGAGGACGATGCCGGTGGAGATTGTGCCAATGGCGAGAAGGGCCGTCATTGCTTTTGCGCCGCCGCTGGCGAGATCGACTACTTGGTCTAGGGTGCCGGCCATGGCGGCTACGAGGGGGACGGAGACGTTTGCGGTGCCGACTACGAAGGAGGATGGGATCGAGTTGGTGATGTTTCGCAGTCCTGTAACGTTGCGTTAGCACATAGTCTTCCACCTTAGAGGATTCGAAGAAACTTACCAGCTCCCGTGTTATCGTAGCTCTCGCATTTGCTAATGGTGACTTTGCTGTTCGGGTTATTGTCGTCGGCGTAGGTCGCTTCGCACATCTTTGTCAGGTAGAGGCGGTAGTTATCCTTGACGCCCAACAGCTGCGTCAAGTTGCCCACCAGCTGGCCCTGGATATCCGAGACACCATCACCGAGCGCATTCGTCAGATTTCCAAGCAGACCTCCCAAAGCATTGCCGAGGCCCTCCGTGATGCCGGTCGGATCGTTGGGTGCGGGGATGCCCGGGATGAGGCTGCCGCCGCCGTTGCCGTTTCCATTTCCGCTGCTGTTGGCCGCCTTGATTTGAACAATGTCTTGACCGATTTTTGATGTATTTAGCTGTAAAGTCGGAAACATTAGTAAAAGTATTCCTTTGAGCATTCGCGGAAAGCCGAAACATACCGACAACCAATAGTTGTTTCCTCCATTACTTGTGTTTGTCCCAGCTGCAAGCAGCACAATAGAAAGTGCAACGGCGACAGCCGAAGCAATAATGGGGACGATAGCAGATAGCCGGCCTCCGATGCCGAGCATTGTAAATCTCGTTTGTTGACTTTTCGATTACAGTATTTAGGAGTAGAGTTGTGGCGTTTAACTTGACATTTAAACTGGGCTTGGTCGCAGGGTGTCAAAGAACTTTTATGATTTCTTAAACCTCCTTTCCCACCTCCAGAGCTCTGACTCGGGCCCTACCTCATCCTAATATGCTCTCCACGGGCATCGACAACCTTTTTCGATCGCCGAACCTGTCAGTACATCATAAAACGTCCCGACAGGCAAGCATATTGGGATGAAACGCTGGGATGAATCCTGAAAGCCTCAACGGTGTGATAACCGGTCGTCCAAGGGTTATCCACAGCATTATAATATTTGCAACGGCCAACGGCTCGTGAGAGGTGCAAGAAGAGTCCCAGATTTCTCCCTTCTCGCATACTGCGCACAGGCAAGGTGGTGGTCCAACAGCGCTGAGTTGTCTGGGAGTTTCAGGGTTGTGGCTTGTAGTCCGCGACAAGGGTCTTACCGCAACGGGCATTCGATAAGAAACTAACGTCATGCCCGCGCCGGGGCGGTCGCATTAACGTCCAATGAATCGGTTGGCTCTCGTGGAAAGTGCATCAGCAACGTTCTGCTATGCATATCGTACCGCCTAAGCTTGCGACAAGCGGCATAGCATATAACGGTGCGCTTTCCCACCCTTCTTCTCACGGTCCTCGCTAGGCGAGGCCGGGATTGGGCTGTCTGCCAAACTCTGTGGAAATCTGTGGAACTCTGTGGAACTCTAGCCCCCCTTGTTCTCTCATCCTCCCGTCGTTCAACGTGGTCGAATCACTCCTCCGACGTTTTCGTACCCGTGTCGTAGAACGGAGCCGAAAGGACGTGCTGCGATGCTGGCATGCTGGTCTAGTGCACATCTTGCAGATATTGCCCTAGGATAGTCCTGCATTATCCGCATTACAAAGGTAAAATGCTGCCGTATTTCAACGTCAGTTCAGCAGAAAAGCAACACCGTTAAGCTTTCAAAGGATGCACGTCTTTCCATAGCCATCCCCCAAGTCACAACAAGTGTGCCCCCCACCTCTTTACGGCAGAAGTTACCGAACGAATGTTCGAGGAGTTTCTGGAAGTGTGTCTGACGTGATGGCTCTAGACGGATGGGAGCATTTTGAACCGCAAGTTTGCTGGTGTTAAAGATTCTACCATGATCGTCTGGAATTATTCTACCATCCACCACGAACGGCCGAGCGCAGCTGAAGGTGCAACTTCCCGACGTGTCGTGATGCCACACTTTTGCGATAATCTTGGTGTTTTACGGCACTCGTAGCCGTTTTGTGGGTTATGTCCTTTGTGACTCTTCGATTCTGTCTTGGTCCATTTTGTCGCCACTGTATCAAAGTGATTCGAGGTGCACCCATTTCCCCTCTAAATGACGATGTGTCTAGTTTCGACTGAAGCGTTTGGTAGAAGGGTGTCGCAAAGACTTTTGTGAGTTTAAAGAATTCAACAAAATCAAGGAATGACTACGGTTACACGAGACTCCGGTTACGTGTAGGTCCGTCTGTACGCCTAGGAATAACTTCCTCAGCTTACTAGGTAATGTTTGATATTTCCCCTAACCAAGTCTTTGAGACAGCCATTTGCAACAGATAGTACCATACTCTCTTATTCTCTATCCAGCAAGACTAGCTCGCGACGATCATTGCCTATGAACTGATTTCAATGACGAATTTACAAGGCTGAGGAAGAAGCTCACGCCATAAGTTCGCAACACATCTTCAAGTGAAAGTTCAAACCCCCTTGTAGTGACCAATGAGCTCCTTGCCGAGGGAAGCTGTGCATCAGCTGCTTGTGATACTGTAGCCAAAAATATGACATCTTCCCAAAGGAGACACAGAAACGGAGTTCCCCACATTATCAACGGTCATTTCTTCAGCGCGACATGATCTACAGACCCCTTACATCACATCCTCCATAGTCTATAGACCATGTAAATGACTCCGATTCAGCACGCACGCGTCGGACAATCTGGTACAACATCGAGGTTCCAAATTAAAGAAAATTTTCCCAGAGTCTTGGTCCCGTTCCCAAGGCAGGTATTCAAGACTGGTGAGCAGAGTAGGTCATCAGTTGCTTCGCTGACCCAAATACCATGGTTATGACGACAGTATCTGGATGAGCTCGCAAAGCTGTAGTGAATGACCCAATTGTATCCATTCCGTCGGAAATGGCGCTTCAAGTCTTGAGAGAGCCATGCCCAATGATGGCATTGTCGCTGCGTATAGGACTTACATCAGACTTCCCGAGCAGACAGACTTTGATGATTTTACCATTGTCGACTTGTATCAAAACAAACCTAAACCGTAGAGGCTGGATCTAGCTCTCAGGAATGTCGTACGCTCAGCAAGAACGTGATCAAGTCATCACCAGTACTCTGTGCATCGAGATTTGTCGTTGCCTATGCTGTGGAACAACTTCGATGAAGCCAGAGCTCGGAAGGCAACAACTCCCCATGCTGTTCTCACCCTTTCTAAATTTGCTCATGTTCAGGCTCATGTTCAGGCTCATTAGTATTTCCACATCCATTACCCAGCGAGCAGTGGAATGCTTCATCTTCATTCTACAGTAATGGGGTGGAGCGGCGGAAATCCTTCCCGAAGCACCGAATCACTATTATTGAGCAGACGAGCTTCATATTGATGCCGCTGTCGATGCTTTGTAGGTAGGCTTGATCGGTGATCACTAATAACACACAGGCTATGCCATTGTGCTCATCTCCGACAGCAAAGTGAGAAAATGCATCTAGATGAAGAATCTGGGCGGCTGGGGTCTCCAACTGTAAGGTCTGGTCTGATTGATCAATGTTCAAGCTGGCGATCTTAGCGGAAGTGGGTCAATTCTCATCTTCGTTCTAGTACCAAAGATCTTTTCTTTCTAGTATACCTGAGAAAACACCCACAGCAAAAACCACCCGTCCTTCCTATTACAGCCAGACAAGATGCACCGGCACAAAAGCCCGATCCGCTCCGTCTTCCACCATCCGTATCGGGAATGCCGGCCTTCCCTCTCCGATTGAGTCACCCGGTCAGCTTACTCGGGGGCTACCCAGCTTGTACCAGACCCGTCAAAGTAAATCCAGAGTTCCAAACCCAAGTAAAATAAAGCACCTCGACCGGCCCTCCCCGTCCATCATCCCCCCCTTTACCACATCTTCACCCGTGCCAAGCCCTTCAACCCCCCCACCCCGCACCCGGTGTCCGTCATTCATCCCATCGCCCGACAACTCCAGCGCCAAGCTCCTCAAAGCCATGGCATCCTCCACCACCTCCGCCACACCGGCACCTACACCGGGAACGGCAACGGCATCCCGTCCCGCAAAAGCCACCGTGACTCTCCGCCCCGCAACACAAGCCGACGTCCCCGCCCTCGCATCCATCTCCGACACAGCCTGCAAAAAGGACTCGCACACCCAGCTCAAAGCCTCCATCCGCGGCGACGACGATTTTCCAAAGGGCATGCAAGATGCGCTGAAAGCCTGGATCGCGCACCCCAAAGTCGACGTCATTGTCGCCGAGGACGCGACGAGTGGTGATGCCGTGGGCTGGGTCGGCTGGGTGAGGCGCGGGTTCTCAGGCGACACTGACCTCCCCTTCGACGGATCGGATGAAGAACCCCGGCCCGAGACTTTCTTCACGGGCTCGGAGCAGGAGAACAAGAGCAAGACGATAGACGACCTCGGCGCCCTGACAAACGCATCAATGAACTACTGGGTCAAGAATTTCATGCCCGAGGGTTGTAAATGCAGGTTCCTGTGCACCTACGTCGTCCACCCGGATCACCAATCCCGCGGCATCGGCTCGGCGCTGATGAAGTGGGGCACTGACAAGGCGGATCGCGAGCCGGGCGTGTATTGCTGGGTTCAGTCGTCCATGGGAGGGCAGAAGGCGTTTGAGAGGCAGGGGTTCCGCGAGGTGGGCAGGTTGGAGGCGGAGCTAGATGAGTTTGCGGCGGGCGTGAAGCCTGGTGGGAAGTTGGCGGGTGTCACTGGGAGTGAGGAGTTTTGGGGGCAGTATTCGTGGGTTTACATGAGGAGGGATGCGAGGGCGTAATAAGGTAAACTGAGTTGAATTGGAAGAATCAAGACGCTGCTATGCGATGCATTATGCCAAAGACCCAGATTGGTCTGAAAATGAACTACAACCAGCGCTGTGCAATCTCATCCCATAAGAACCCAGAGTCGCGTCTACAACCCAACAAGCTTGCAAAACGTCATGAGACCCCACGCGCCAGCCAAGGGGTTCATCATATCCTGGACCATCATCGAGTCCGAAATCGCCTCGTTGAAGTCCTTCATCATCGGCACCTTGGGTTTCGAAGCCCAGAACTGACGCATGTACTGGTGTCCGTACGTCAGGCCCGCGGCGAGCATGATGGGGAAGCCGACGGTGAAGATGCCTAGGCCGCGGGGTACCACGAGGGAGAAGGCGATGCCGCCGATGGCGGAGACGAGGCACTGTGTGTCGCGGATTGTCAGTTTATCATGAGATTTTGGAAGAGTGAGTGAGTAAGAGTGAGAAAGTGAGAGTGAGGGGCTGGACGTACGCCGACGAAGCCTGTACCGACGGTGTATCTAACTTCCCATAGCTGCTTCTCTGCCGTCCTACTCCACTCCGCTGCCTTCTTGGCCTTGTCCTCGTACTTGAGCAACCTGGGGATCGAGTTCGCCGAGTGCACAAGGGCAAACGCGCTAGCGAGGGCGATGAGTATGCCCAGCATGTTTGTCGGGAACGCCATTTTCGAGTGTATTTGGATGTTTCCTTTTCGGAATAATGAGGTTTGACGTGATTCTGTGCCCCTCGATTATTAGTCTTCTTCTCTCGAGATTCCCCTTTTGCTCTTGACGATGTGTGGCAAAGACTCGTTGGTGTTTATAAGAAGTGAAGCTCGACAGCTCACATGCAGGAAGAAGTCGCTAGACCGCGGCAGTGACGTCATGGTTCGCAGAGCTACGACACACCCGGCCAAGGTCCTCCGGGGGGTGAGCTCACGACGGGACACGATCAAATCATGGGACGGACAACGCAGGACAAACGCTCTGGCTTAATTTGGAATTTCATTTCAGTCATTTCTTGCGAAACTCTGAGAACTGTTCAGCCATACATGGTAAGCAGGTGTTCATGAGATAAAAGCTCATAAAACTCTCCCTCTCGGCTATCTGAGGTAAGATGGCCCACGGTCTGGACCACGAGCTCGGATGAGACACGTCCAGCCGTGCTCATCACGTTTTCGAATAGGACATCGTTGAGTAGTAGGCACATCGGGTCATTAATCAACCACATTGCCGTATGGCTCTGCATTGCACAGTCCGCGGGGTCCCGACGTTGTCATTCGTACCAGCTGAGTTGCTCGATGAGCTGCCCCGCACCCATAGCCGAAGCTTCAAGCCGTCTCAACGCCCTCGCCATGCAATAAATCAAAAGATGGCCCAGAACCCACGCTTGAGCTGTAGACCGGAACAATATTGCTCCACGTATCTCTCGCTATGGATACGTCGTCAACAGTGGCAGCAGCTCAACGACCATGCTGACCGTCCTGAGCTGAACGAGCTAGTAGTTCTCCAATTCACCATCAAGGCAAATTCTCGGCTCCTCTTTTACCTCTTCGGTCGCAAGTCCTTCACGTAAAAATCGAGCTTCTCGGAGTGGTAAACATGACCCGGCGGGTTCTTTGCTCCAGTGTACAGGTTATCAATGGAGTGCTGGTGGAAGGTTTCCGACGCCGTGCACTGCAGGATGTGAGGCAACCCTGGCGGGTTTGTGAGGCGGAAGATGCCATATCTGGATACCGCGTTAGCTGTCGTTGTGTACGAAGAAACACATGCAACTTACGATGGAGAATGCCTTGGAGAGCAAACGATGGCGATACTCTCTGGCATCATAACCTGGTACCCGGCCTGCGTGTGTAAATCACGCGAGCTCATGAAGCACGTTTGCGTGGGATGCGTATGAATCCAGCCCACTACCAAGAGATCCTCGTTGATGCAATAATCCAGCATCGACGACTCGTTTTCGGTTTCGCACGTATCGGGTGTGCACTTCTGTTCGGGGATAAGAAGGCAACTGATGAACAGCGCGTTGTTAACAGGTCGTCCACAAAGGATACCGCACATTTCGAGGCCTCTGCGGGTGTTGTCTGACGCGATGTTGAGGAAGGTATCCCTGAGCTGTGTTGGGAGGAACACGGGTCGGATAGGGTCGCCATTCTCCAGATACGCTGCCGGCTTGAAAGCGAGCCGCTCTTTCGCCGCCGGTGGCATCACCTCCTCCTTGGCTGGCAACTCCGGAACGCCTCCCTGTAGCGCGTTGGCTGTTGACGGCGGCCTGTACGACGTCAATGGCTCCTTGCTCGGCCTTACAGGAGGTGCCGCATCGAGCTCCTGGCGCGTCATCGTGAAGTCCTCCTTTGGCGGCTTCGGTGGCTGAGGCGGTGGCGGCGTGTAAGTGCGCTGCGGTTCCAACGGCGACGCCTCCCATTCCAGTGCCCTTGGTCGTGATATAGACGGGTAATTGTATGAGTAGCTGGGAGGAGCTCTCGGCGGGGGCACCTGGCGTTGGTAATTTGAAGCTTGCGAGTTGCTGAAGGTATCTTCGTCTCTTCCCCCATCGGTTCCGTCGAGTCGGCGCCGTGTGGCTTCGATCTGTCTCCTTATATCTTCCTCCTCTGCTGCGGCCGTCGCTGGACTGCTAAACTGCTCCCAGTCCTCCCAGCGGCCGCCCTTGCGGCGCTCTTGCTCTTCTTCGGCGCTGACGCCGGCCTGCCGCGTTGCTCTCCTTGCAGCATCTCGCCTCTTATAGTCTCGTTGCGCCAAAGAGACTGCAAGCTCCTGATTATCGGCGGCATCGAGAATCTTGGCGTTTCCGGATAGGGTCGGGTCTCGGGCAGCGAACTCGCTATAACTTGTGGGTCTGGTGGTGAATTCGTCGTCTTCTCTCTGCTTTGACGCGCTCATCGACTGCCATTCCTTGTAATCGCGGTCGATCTGCGGCTTCAATTCCTCCAGTAACCCAAATACCTCCTTATTCTGGCGATCGAACAGTGGCTTCGTGAGCGCTTTGTTTTCGGGTAACTTGGCGTCGGGATGTGTTTTCAAATGCGTAAGAACTAGGACCGAGTGTCGCCATAGCATCTGGTAGGCTTTTCGTATGTCGCGATCTTGAAGCGCAAAGGTTGCCTAGATCGCATTGTCATCAGCGGGTGCAGCGCAGGCGAACAAACAAGCGAAATGGGGCACAAACCTCTTGAAATAGGGTATCTGCGGAACGCGCCCAGTACTTGAAGGGGATCGTAGTCCTGAAGTCAAAATCCTCTGCTGCTATGGTAATCTCCTTGATGCTCATGGGCCGCGCGGGCCTGGGACTCGAAGGGCCATTCATCTTGTTGGTGGTGTCGGAGGAGTTGGAGCTCTCCGGCTTTCGGCTGTGTAGTGGTTCAAGCTCGGGAATATCTCGTTATGTGGTCGCTGGTGGTGACGAACACCGTTCAGGGAGATGTTGGCATGTTTCTCAAAATGAAAGGCCAAGCGTGGCAGCCTAGAGGTAGCAAGCAGCCGACCGTTTGGTCAAAGACGTCTTGCGAGTTTCGTCCCAGGGACCGTATGACGAAGCGCTAGAGGAGCCACTCGTGGCTGAAGCCTGAAGCCTGAAGCCTGAAGCACACCCAGCAGCACCCCGCCATGGATGGGGGGAAACCGACAAGGTCCGCACCAAATGGAGGGGCATGGGAGAGAGCTCGGGCCTCGTTCAAGAATGCATCACGTGGGCAGCGATGAAGGCACGTGACTGGGATCACACCGAGACTGGCTTACATTAATTATTATGTTCACCGGGGGAGGTGAATCAGGGCAGCCAGGTGAGGAAGAACAGCAAGGGTCCACGCTTTGTTGGGCTGTCATTTGCGGGAGGATCCGGGCCATTGTCTCGGATCCACTCCCAGAATAATGTCACTGAGGCTTGAGCTGGGAATCCGAGAGAGGAACAGAAATTCGAAGTTTTCCATGATCCATCGTATTGCCACGATGCAATGAAAATTTCAGGCATCAGGGCCTCATCGAGCTACAACACAAAGCACCTAGACGTCATCTCGCCCGTATTTCCGTTCGATCTACGACAGCTCTCTCGCTTGCCCGCCAACCCAACGGACACCGACGAGCAAGGGGCCAGACGCTCGCCTCATTCCAAGGTCGGGAAATGTCGGAACGCGCCCAATCTTTCGTAATACTTCTCGCCAACCACTCAGCTTTACCACGAATAAGGTAATTATCCGGCACCTGGGAAGCCAGGGAAACCAAAGCAACCGGAGTGCGCCCAGGCGGGCCGGTGAAGCCGTTCCCTGGTTCCATCTGCATTGATCCTCTTGCGGCTCGAGTCTCAACATGGCACCATGCTCGACTGCTTCCACCGCCTGCTTGAACCGGGTCGCATGTTGCCTGACGTGCATGTTTTCCGATGCTTGAGTCGAATGAACCGCTCGCCCCCCACGCTTTTTTCCTTCCGCTGGTCGCCGGTGAGCGAGGGAGACAAAGATAGATCTTTGGCGGTCTAGAGACTGTGTATTCAAGTTCCGGTTCCTTGTTACCCGATGTGCCTGTGTACGGTTGTAGGTGGTCGTTTCCCATTGTCTCAAGTTGCGGCCGTGGCGGTGCCGAGTCGTCAGGTTATCAGCTATCGCATCTTGCCATCCAGCCCAAATCTGACGGCGAGATGGCTTGATGTTTTTTGCGGGAATGTGGAGGAGATGACCATAACCCGTGCTCCTGTTTTTTCCCGCCTTGCTTTTTTGTTGTAATTCGCAAACTGTTGATGGGGGTCGCCGCCGGGCATCTCCCGCAAAGACTGGGGACCCAATGTCGACTAGTCCTTGCCATGTGTGCGTCCGTCCGGCCATGGCAGATTCAGGGATGGCCACCATCTGAGCCATCCTGGACTTGGGGGAATCTCCCGATGAGGCCACAAGGCTACAATTCAGTCGAGATTAAAGGAGAAGTTTTCCGCCTTTGTTGATGTCGAGATCCCTTAGACTTGTTTGATTATCTTCATCCATCTTCATCACAATACCAGTATACATCCATCTACTCCATCCACGAGCTCATCACCAAATCTTCGTGAGACTTCACTCATCACAACCATGTCTTCCACCACTTGCAGAAGTAAGCCGCCCTACTCACCACAGAATCACATCAGCAACTAACAACCCGCTAGAAAGCATCGACAGCACCATGTCACACTTCACCCTAAGCATGGGCAAGGCCTCCGTCCAAAACAACGTCTCCCTCTGGACAACCCTCTCCCAATGCTACGCCGAAATCGCAAAGACCTTCAACATCCAAGACGCAGAAGGCATCCTCTCCACCCCAGACAGCCTCTCCAAAGTCGTCCACGCAACCTTTGACCACGACGTCCACGGCCTCATCGAGCAGCACTCCTCCTCCATGGCCAGCTACCTCGACGACGCGACAAAGGCGCACATGCTCGCCCAGGCCATCGCCGGCATGGTCGCCTTCTTCCAGAAGCTCGCCGCGCACCACCAGGGCCCCGTCATGCAGGCCAGCTTCGACCGCGAGGTCCGCCGCTTCGCCGAGTGCGAGCTCCGCTCCGCCATGATTCGCACCATTGAGGAGAGCCGCATCTTTGGGCGCTGCTACACAACGAGCCAGATTGCCGACCTCATCATGGGCGCCGTTGAAGGCAAGGTCAACGACGCTGAGTTTACGTCCGAGGACGAGTACCAGAACGCCATTGGCTGGGCGACTGAGTTGCCTGCGCGCAACATGGGATTGCCGTGGGGCTTTTCCATCATGGCTCTCAACTAGAGGGTAGGATGGTGCAGATGATCATGACCGTTATAATGAAACTTTTTTGGGATCTCGCGTAGCGAGGGTATCGCCGCCGGGGTAGGGCGCATTAGCATGGCGTTTTTTGAAAGGAATCTTATCGGAGCATTGCTGGGTATAGTTCATAGTCCTAGTAGCTTTTTAATTGTATCACCACTCTCATCAGACCTTCAATTTGTTTGCTTTTTACTGATCTCGTTCATCCACTGTTGCTGTCGCCGTCATCCTCGCCCTCATCATGCCTTCTGTGCCTGCGCCGCAGCTTGTGCGCTGGTCTGGATCTGGATGATGTCGCCCTTCTTCTTCTCCAGCTTGCCTTGGGCATCCCTGATCAAACCTTCATGTCTCTCGCTGGTGGATGTTAGTAAGGAAACACTGCTTTTCGAAAATCAACTGTGGTGCACATACATCTCCTTCGTAATGAAGTCCAGACGGCCCTTGACTGTGCTCTCCGCCTCCACCTTGTCCTGCTTCAGCAACACGGGGCCGACCAGCTTGTAGATCTGCTCGCCATCCTTGAGCTTGTCGAACTCCTGGAAGATACATCAGCCTGGTGGTCGTGAAAGTCGGATCCTGGAGTTCCCTTACCTCCTTCACGCCGAGGTTCTCCTGCCTCTGGGCCTCCAGCTTTTGCCTCGACTGAACGGTGGTCTGAAGTTCTAATGAGACACGAGTAAATATCCCGTCACTCATCGCAGTATTTCGATAACGTACCCTGTTGCAGCGCCTGGTAATCCTCCGACAGCTTTTGCAGCTTTGCTTGCACCTCAGCCATGGTTGGGGTATGAATATGAGTGTGAGGGGTTCACAAGAAATGAGTGTGAAAATTGCAAATCAGAGAGTTGGCCAGGGCACAACAACGTCGGGAGGAACGCCGCAGATCGGTCCAACGGTTAAGATATGAGACGAGTTTGTGAATCAGACGTCTCCAAAATTGCCAAGGCTCTGGGAAATAATTCGTTTTGTTTCGACTTTTGAGCGGTGGTCTGCGAGAGGATACTTGGTACCTCGACTCAGCATTCGATGCAGTGGTGACAGACAATCGGGATACCGTTTAGTCGAATATGGAGCAACCCACTTGTCGAATGTACGGGCCTCGGTGGGAGGTAAGTCTCGGAGGACTCGAAACACTTGCCAGCTTTCTGAAATCCCGAGACTTTTCTTGGTTGATTTTGAGACTTAGGGATTACGTTCGTGATTTCGGAAGGGTTAAATGCGTCCGCTATGACATATTTGGTGCCCATAGACCGGTACAGGAGGTCGCCCGCAGGTAATGCATGTAGGCATTTGATGCATGTAGGCATTTGATGCATCTAGACAAACATTTTCAAATAACCCAGACAAGTCCCCCACCCCCACCACCTGCCCAAGGCACCCCGATTAGCGCAGCGGTCCATCACGAACTGCCCAGGCAACGTCACAGAATCCACGCCCGCAAGTGCTTCCTCAAGGTTCCTCGCCCGTCCAAACTTCCACCCTCCACCTGTTTGCGCCAGGCATCGACGACCTGCTCAGGAACTTATCGATTCTTCCATCCTCCGACGTCCAATCTCGAAGCGATTAGCCAAAGGCGCTGACGAACACGACGACGTTCACAACGAGAGAGCTTTCCCCGCTCTTTCCACCTTGTCACGAATCCCACCTCTCCGTCGCCGCTTAATCGCCGAGCTCCTCGAGAGACAAGTTCAGCCCGCTGCCAACAATGTCGGGAATCACCGACTTCCTCGGCCGTGCCATTAGCACGGTCAAGCAGGCCATCGACGCCGACAACGCCGCCGAGTACGACAAGGCCTTCCAACTATACACAAAGTCGCTCGAGCTCTTCGTCCTCGCCGTCAAGTGGGAGAAGAACCCAAAGTCAAAGGAGCTCATCCGCCAGAAGACGGCCGAGTACATGGACCGCGCCGAGAAACTCAAAACATACCTCAACGAAGCAGAGAGTAAAAAGAGCGGCGGGGGCGGGAACAAACCCGGGGCCGTGGGCGTTAATGGCGGCGGCAAGGGTAAGGGAAGCGCTGATGACGGCGACGAGGACAATAAGAAGCTGCGCAACGCCCTCAGCGGCGCCATCCTGCAAGAGCGGCCTAATGTGCGGTGGGACGACGTCGCCGGTCTCGAGGGCGCCAAGGACACGTTGAAGGAGGCCGTCGTGCTGCCCATCAAGTTCCCGTCACTGTTCCAGGGCAAGCGTCAGGCGTGGAAGGGTATTCTTCTCTACGGCCCGCCTGGAACGGGTAAGAGCTATCTGGCCAAGGCGGTCGCGACGGAGGCAAACAGCACATTCTTCAGCGTCAGCAGTTCCGATCTCGTGAGCAAGTGGATGGGAGAGAGTGAGAGGTCAGTTGATTGCCGATTCTGCGCATACGCAAGCAAACCCACAAGCAGTATTCTAACCCACACCAAAACAGGCTCGTCAAGGCACTCTTTAGCATGGCAAGAGAAAACAAGCCCTCGGTCCTCTTCATTGACGAAATCGACGCCCTCTGCGGCCCCCGCGGCGAAGGCGAGTCCGAGGCCTCAAGACGTATCAAGACGGAGCTTCTCGTGCAGATGGACGGTGTCGGAAACGACAGCAAGGGCATCCTGGTCCTGGGCGCGACCAATATCCCCTGGCAGCTCGACGCCGCCATCCGCAGACGTTTCCAGCGCCGCGTGCACATTGGTCTGCCCGACGTCAACGGCCGCGCGCGCATGTTCAAGCTCGCCGTCGGCGACACGGAAACGCACCTCCAGGCGGACGACTACCGCGTACTGGCCGAGCTGTCGGAGGGGTTCTCTGGTAGTGATATCGCCAACGTGGTGCAGCAGGCTTTGATGGGGCCTGTTCGCAAAATTATCCAAGCCACACACTTTAAGCCGGTATGTTGTACTTCCATTCTATCATATACTAGAGATGAAATGATGCTAATTGTGTTCAGGTTGTTCACGATGGCCAGAAGAAGCTTACACCTTGCTCACCCGGCGACCCCCAAGCCAAGGAGATGACGTACCACGACGTCGACTCGGAGGAGCTGATGGCACCCATCATTGAGCTCAAGGACTTCAAGCAGGCTCTCAGGGACTCGCATCCTACCGTTTCCGACGACGATGCCGCCAAGCAAATAGAGTGGACAAACGAGTTTGGTAGTGAGGGTGCATGAGCTGGGAATATGGTGTGGACTGAGTGGTGATTACTTCAAAGAACAAAGACTCTGGAATACTATTTGCAAATGAGAACGAGAGAATGGAAAGAAACAGAAACTATTTGGGATGGTATGGGTGGTGTACCGGGCGGGGGCGGCTGTGGTCGAGAGTTGGGGGCGTCCTCTGGCGTTGAAACGGCCGGCATTTTTGGGTTGGGGGAAATATCAAACGTATTACTCTTTTTTTTGCTTTTTCTATTGTTCCCTTTTTTAGTTTCTACTGCATTGCAACCTCTACCTTATCCTTTCCCCCCTTCTCTGACACAGCGTAAAATCTAAAAAGTTGGCCTACTATAAAAACGATGGGGGATCTTTGGGGAGAGTTATCCAAAGTTTGATCTGGAGAAATTATGGGTCTATCCCTTGGTGGACTATACTCTGGTGCAAGTCAAGGCAGGCCCATAGCCAATAGACAACACCAGTATGGTCTCACGGTACGGTCACTCATCACCTATGTTGACAACAAGACTGGCAGGGAGAGAGAATTGCTCTGGGGGTATGGGTTCGGTTGGTTGTTCTTTCAACTGTACATACACACATATGTAGAATGATGCATTAACATTTTTTCAAAGCCCAAAAACTCCGTTCAAATAAGCCCGGTTTTTTCTCTCTCATTTCCTCCCCCCATAAAACTCCCAAGAAAAAAAAAAGAGACACAGAACAGGTAAAAAGAGCCACAAGTAGATAACAAGATTGAGAGAGAAGCCGGGAAATGCCCAAGGTAGTTGCCGCCAGACCTGCGTTAAAAAAAGAGCAGAAGAGTTTTTGGAACAAGGTTGGGGAAGGGGGGTATGTGCAAAGAGGAAAAAGTAGTGACAAGACAACCTACTTCCTTCTCCTTACTCATCCTTGGACTTGGACTTGGACTTCTTCTTCTTCTTTTCGCCGTCAGCCTTTTCGGGCTCGGCGGCGCCGACCTCGGACTCGCGCTTGCGCTTCTTCTCCTTCTTTTCCTTCTTGTCCTTGGACTTTTCCTTCTTGTCCTTCTTCTCCTTCTTGACGTCCTCGACGACGGCGTCGACCATTTCCGCGTCGTCGAGCGTGAGGTCGCCCTCGACTTGCTCCAGGACGGAGGCCTTTTGAGTTGTGTTAGCATGATTCAAGGACACATTGGAGGAAAATGCGGCTGTGAGTAACTTACCATGACGTCCGAGTTCTTGGCGGGCTTCTTGCCGGTGGCGTAGAACTCGAGACGGTCCTCGACCTGCTGGCGGAGGGCCTCACCGAACTTGGTGTTGGGGTTCTCGGTGTAGTTGTCGATACGGCTGGCAATGGAGCACTTGTTGGCGAGGTAGCGGGAGATGCGACCCTTGTTCTTGACGGCGGCCTTGCCGATGAAGCTGCTGTGGTAGATGAGACCGTACTTGGGGGTGTTGCTCTTGGTCTTGAGGGCGCGGAAGAGGGCCTTTTCGGCGCCGAGGATCTGCAGGGTCGAGGCCGGGTATTTGGACAAGTTGGTCAGGGAGCCGGCGTGGGAGATGAGCTTGGCGGCGACGGGGGTGCCGATGAGGGTCTGCAGGTTGGGCGCGACGATGGACATCTTCTTGTCGAGGTAGTTTGCGGTCGAGCGGCGGGCCTCGGCCTGCGCGACGACGGCGGAAGCGAAGCCCTTTACGATCTCGAGGTCGGCGGGGGTGATGGAGAGACCCATGGAGACCTTTGCGGCGTCGATGATGGCCTGGGCCTTTTCGCCGTCCTCCTCGACGAGGGCGGCGATGTCGTGGAGGCGGTCGTCGGTGAGGGTGGCCTTGTCGCCGATGGCGAGGACGAGCTTGGCGTAGGTGAGGTTGTCCGACTCGATCTTGACCAGCTCGGGGAAGTGCCAGCCGTACCACTCGCGCACGCGCATGAAGAACTGGTTGACGCCCTTGTCCTGGAACTCAACGGTGGCGCTGGCCTGGATGACGTGGTTGTCGTTCTTGGTGGTGCTGAACTTGACCTTGGCGCGGGAGTAGGAGTGGCCCAGACCGAGGCCGGCGGCGGTCGAGTCGCCCGTCTGCAGGCCCTTGAGGAGGCGGTCGGCGTGCAGGCGGACGCCGCGGAGAAGGTCGGCGGCGACCTCGGAGGTCTCAGAGGTCTCGCAGTCGATGCCGGAGAAGGAGCTCTTGATCACGGAGGCCAGGTTCTTCTCGGCCACGGCGATGGTGATTTTGCTCTTCTTGCCGCTCGTCTGGGGGAGGTTGAGCTCGAGGACGGACTTGAGGTGGTCGGACATGAGACCCTCGGAGATGTGGTTGATCTCGTCAAGTGCCTGCTTTCCGGTGCTGTGTGTGAAAGAGTATTGTCAGCAGGGTTCTGGTTTCCTCTCCATTCTTGTCTCCAATGCTGTCGTTCCGGGGTTGAGACGCGCTTCTAAGAGAACCCCTCCGTCGCGCAGCCTCCAACCTCTAGCTGCCACCCACACCACCATAATCGCCAACATTTCGCGGAATTGGGGTAGTCCTACTCAAAGGGAGTGAAGTTGACCAGCTTCACCATCTTGCCAAACTTGGAAAGGTCGGCAATGGTCTCCTGAGCCTCCTTCTGGCGCAGGCCAATGCTGTCGGGCTGGTGCTCGATGTGGAACACACCGTAGCCCATGGGGGCCTCGTAGAGGAGGTAGTTGATCGCGGCCATTTTGGCAAACTGTCTCTCTCTCTCTCTCTCTCTCTATGATCTTGATATGTTGATTGAAGTCGGGAGGGGACCGGACAATCAAGCCTCGCGGAAGTTATTGTGGGTGGGCAGAGGCGAGTCGACAGTGCTGGTCAAAAAAAGAGAGGTCGAAAAAAGTATCCAAGGTTCGGATTTTTTTCTTCAATTTTTCCTTTCCCCCCACTGGTGTCAATTGGAAATTTTTCTGGAGCTCCAATGCTGACGCTCGGGCCAGTTTCTGGGTGGTGTGGGTGGTGGGAGGGTCACGTGGGCGACCTTCGGCATGAGACGACGCCGGCAGCCGATGGTGGGGCAGCCTCTGTGGCTGCGTTCCGGGCTGGTGTGGCTCAACACTTGATGTTCAATCGCTGGACTCATGGGAGACGGGGTGCAGCGACAGCAGAGTGTCATCGCAGGAAGCCGCTGTCGTTTCGAAGAGCCTGTCAGCCTACTTGAAACTTTTGAAATATCAGTATTTCTATGTCATGCAATCTGTATGTAAGTGTACTACACCCAGCATATTGAGCGGTTAGATCCTAAGGCTTCCACGGCTGTAAGTCCCAGCATTGAGAAATAGACGGACAGCTCAGCATGGCCAGAAAGAGACTTTTTCAGCTCAAGTAAGGTCTCCAGATGATTTCCTGAGATTCTCTATCTAGCTTAGATAGTTCAAAGTCTCAAACAGCCGTGTGGTTGTGGAGCTATGGATTTTAATGATGATTTTAACATTGCTTTGATTTTAACATTGAAAGGCAGTTTTGGTATCTCTAATGGCAACACAATCTTGATTACGACCATACGAATCATTAAATCAACAATATTGTTTGAGTCAATCACCAAAGAACTATACCTACTCAACCAACGTAAGTCCAGCTGTTCATCCGGTATATAGGGTAGACCTCGTCGAATGCAACAGCGCCTGCTTATCATCATGCCAATCACATGCCACCACCAAAAAACACCTCAAGCACAATACACTACCAACTCTACCAAATCAAATCCACCACCAAAGAACCACATGACTTATTCTTGATTCGCTTCCACAGGCAGACTCTGTAAGCATCCTTCCCAAACATGCAGACCAACTCCCGGAGCCCCCGAGGAAATTCCCACAGGCTTTTAGACCGGAGGTGGTATCGTTTCAATCCCGTCGCTTCCGGCATCTGGCGGAGGGTCGCGGGGCTGTTGGCCCAGAAAGCCAAACGTCCAATGACATCATGAAATCGAGATAGCTTAGCGATTCTGCCTGGCTTACACCGCCGCCTGATTATTCTACGTATGGATGAATGTCACTCTGGATGCGATGGACAAGAGTATGGTGATCAATATTTGTTGTCATTACACATTAGGCGTTATTAAAATGAGGAATATGATACATGTACAAAAGTCCGAGCAAAAGGATGCTCGCCCAAGAAAAAGTGCACGCAGGTAGCTAGAACCATGGGACTCTGAACCCAACGTCCAAACCGCCCAAAACCTTGCCTCAACATGCCTCAAGCAGCGCGGCGGCTCCTGGTTCGTGACGCGATGCCGCCTCCGCCAGCCGCCTTGGCCACGCCATTCGCAACAGCCTGAGCCGCCTGTGCAGCCTCCCCACCAGCAGCAAGGGTTGCGACGTCGACCTTGGGCACCTCATCAATGGTCTCCATGGGCTCGGCCTCAGACTCCTCCGCCTCGGACCGGTCGTCCTGCTCGACGCCCTGGAAGACGTAGCGGTATCCGATGCGCACGAGGAAGAAGAGCCAGAAGAGGTTGAGGGACTGCAGGAGACCGAGCAGGCTGAAGGTGATGACTTTGGAGAGGGTGCACTTGTACTGCTGCGTCTCCCAGTTGAGCTCGTAGGGGCCGACGGTGGAGAACTCGGTGAGGATGGACCAGAGGATCTTGAGGTTGATGAAGTGGCGGAGGTAGATCCACGAGGCCAGTGACAGGCAGTACCAGGGTCCGGTGATGGGGGCGTCAACGTAGTTGAAGGTCTTGGACATCTGAGTAGGGAGTTACTGATTAGCATCTTTGTCTCGAGTGGGTTTTTGCACGTGTCTGCGAGTCGAACTTACTGCCATGAAAAAGTCGCTGATATCGTGGGTCAGGTAGACAGCGATACCCATGTAGGTGAAGTGAAACCGGTAGCTCAGGCCGATGAGGGCCAACGTCACGCAGTGGTGCGCCACGAGCTCGTAGTAATCCTTGCGCGGCTTCTCCAGACCGAGAAGCATGACCAGCGCCTGCTGCGCCCAGTAGGCCGCCTCGAACAGGTAGTAGAACTTGACGACGGCTTCGTGGGTCTTGTGGGGGAACGTCTCATACATGCCCGTGGTGTTGAAGTACCAGACCGGGGTGCGGCTCATGACGTACAAGCCAAAGGGGCCGAGGACGCCAAAGTAGACGGCAGTGTAGGCCTGCTCCATGAAGCGCTGCTGCTTTCCGCGGGAACGGATTCCGAGGGACTTTGCCAGCGGGCGGAGGAGCTCCTGCATGATGAACTCGCGGGTGAAGGAGAGGACGGTGGCGTAGAAGCAGACAAAGGCGATATCCCAGAGACCCTTTCCATACTGCGCGGGCGCGTCGGAGTCAGCGCCGGCGGCAGCGGCATCGAGTCCTTGCTGAGGGATCTTGTAGGAGAGGAAGATGAAGTGGTGGATGATGTTTGACTCGGTGGGGTTGACGGCGTAGAGGGAGAGGAAGACGAGGACCGTGACAAGGGGCGTGGTCCAGGTGTGCTTGACGGCGATGTGCTTGCAGCGGCGGAGGATGGCGCGGGCGCGGCTGCGCTTGGAGAGACGATCGAGCTGCTCCTGCTTCGAGGGCTGGCGGGCGTTGGCGTCGTGACCGTGGCCGTGGCCTCGCACGCTCGACTTTCTACGTCGGCGGGTCGCGATCTGGTCTTTGCCGGCCGAGGCCGGGGCGGTAGACTGAGCCATGGGGGATTCGGAGGCAGTCATTGTCGCGGGTTGAGACGTGTTGAGAGGTCGAGGTTGTTGCGATGACAACTGGTAGGTCTGAAGATGTTCGAGGTCGAAAAGGGGGAGATCTGCAGATGGCTTGCCCGAGCAGAGTCGACTAGGAGGAGGAGGGGGCTTCAGGGCAGAGACGGGATGTCGCGTGCACCTTTGGCGATTGAGACTGTACAAGAAACAAGACAAGAGCCGGTCAAGACCCGTCGAGCATGTAAAAGTGAAGAAGTAGGAAAAGAGATGTCGGGAGGAGGGCGGGAGACCGGGAAGTTTGGAGGAAAAGTTTATACTTCGTAGCGAACGGCCGGGGCGGCGGTCGTCGGGGGATTTTTCTTGTGAAGCAATCTCCCCCGTGGCTTGCGCAGAGGCGGATTTTCGGATAGAGTGGGTAAGATCAATTTTACACTACCTTAATTCCAGACATGGGGGGGTTGATTCGCACCGTGACACCACTGGATCCCGCGTAAATCGAAGGAAGTGATGGCAGTGACAGCCAGACGACGGGGAGTTAATTAAACGAATGGCGGCACCGGGTGATACGCGGATGACCTGCAACTGGCGCCTTAGGTAAGGCGGTCTTGCCCTTTTCCGTCCGATTCTGCAGATCCGCCCTGTTGGGATCTCACGGGAAGCAGCGTCTTTTCCTTCACCCCCTATGCGAGAACCAACAACCAGTGTTGCTGGGGAGAAGAAGAAGACTTTTTTCTTTGTCCACCTCACCTAATTATCCACGGAATGACTACCGGGAAAAGAAAAAGAAACGAATTGGCTGTTCATTCTGCACTGGTAGAGAATAGGCAGTCTACCAGTGTCCGACAATTGCTCAATTCGGAACGTGTAGGAGATCGGAGACTTGAGGGAAACAATTCCCCGACACGCTGTCCGCGACAGGCTGGACGTGTCGGTACCTGCCTCGGTCTACCATGGTTATTTCTCAGTCATCAACACCAATTGCTTCAGGTCAGAGGGGACGATGGCTTCGGCTTCCAACACAATGTTTGCCATACACACTAATCTTCTGAATGAGCAGACTGACGACCGTCGTCGAATTGACAAAAAAGAAAGAGAAAAAAAGACCCTCGGCCAGGGTCCCATAATCATCGTCGGTGCTCGGGCTCTCAACACTTTTTTCATCCCATGTCGACCGTCCACCCGCACTTTGGGGCCATCCCATGACGCTGCAGGCGGTCTGTCACCGTCTCCGACGTCCCGTTGGCAGCCAAGTCCCGTCCACCACAGCGCGGAAGTGCCGGTGCTCAACGGGGGAAGGGGACGGCCCAGACATGTGCTCTCCACATGCGAAGATACAGAGGTGCCTGGGTCCATGCGCTCTTTACATAAGCTCGCTTGCCGACTGTCCTTACATAATACGCGCTGCAATGGGAGGCAACCCTCGGATCATGGGTGTCTACCAGCGTCGCACTTTGCATGAAGGCACTTCTTTTCTCGCAGATCACCCGCCTGCTCAAGGCGAAATGAGAGTCCAACCAAAGGGACTCCGTAAAGGATTATTGCTACCTGGGAGACACAAATGTAGACTAGCCCAGGTGCCCAGAGTGACGTCCAGGGAAAGCCACACAGGAGGGGAGCCCAGCTGTGGGAGCTGACGACAACTCGCGCCTCATCCAGCTCCAAGCTCCAGTAACAGCGCGCAGCATTGCGCCGCATATTGGGGTCAACCACCGGCGGCATCCATACAGAGCGCCAGTAGGCACAGGCACAGCTCACAGAGGGGGCCTCAGGAGGGGCAGTGTTGCACTCGTATTTGTGACCTAAAGCCCATGGGATTTGTCCAACGCGGGGCCCATTCATTCCAAGTTCCCGGACGAGCTGCATCACCGTTGCCGCTACCCTTGATCTACCTTGCCTTGTATGGACCAGACCTGACCTAACAGTGACAAACACCTCCAGTCAGCAACAAGAACCGTCAGCTTCCCTCCAGCTGGCCTGTCGTCTTTAAATATCCCATTTCCCACGGTCAATATCTTGGCAACGAACCTGATCCTGTCCTGTATGCAATTCGCACGCTCGACGACCCTCATCACCTCTGCCATAGTCCTCTTGACCACCATCTTCGTGACGCACACCTACACGAACCTCTTTACACGCCTACCTATCCCCCTTTTCAGATCAAACACCACGGACACAATGGGCGGCGGTCCAGTGCAAGGCTTCCGCTCGGTAGCCTACTTTGTCAATTGGTACGTCATCAGCTGTCTCCCTCAGCTCTGGAGAACCCAGGGGCAGTATTCCCAGGTACAGATCGTAATTAACACCATCGGGCTCTCAGGGCAATCTACGCTCGCAAGCACCGTCCCCAAGACCTCCCCGTCGAGAACCTCACCCACATCCTCTACGCCTTTGCCAACGTCCGCTCCGACTCGGGCGAGGTCCACCTCACCGACGGCTGGGCCGACACAGACATCCACTGGGAGGGCGACAGCTGGAACGATGTCGGGACGAACCTCTACGGCTGCATGAAGCAGCTCAACCTGCTCAAGCGCCGCAACCGCAACCTCAAGATTCTCCTGTCCGTCGGCGGCTGGACTTACTCGTCCAACTTCAAGGCCCCGGCCAGCACGCCACAGGGCCGGGATACCTTTGCTCGCAGCTGCGTCGACCTCATCAAGAATATGGGCTTTGACGGGTACATTGAATAACCCCCCACCGCTCCCGTGGCCTACCTCCAAGACAGACCAACTAACAAAACCTGACTACAGCATCGACATTGACTGGGAATACCCCCAAACCCCCTCAGAAGCCTCCGACTTCGTCGCCCTCCTCCAGGCCGTCCGCTCCGCAATGGACCAGTACGCCTCGACGCTGCCAGAGTGGTACCACTTCGAACTAACAGTCGCCTGCCCCGCCGGCGCCCAAAACTATCAAAAGCTCAACCTCCCCGCCATGGACCCCCTCCTCGACTTCTGGAACCTCATGGCCTACGACTACGCCGGCTCCTGGGACTCCCTGGCGGGCCACCAGGCCAACCTGCAGCCCTGCCAACGCAACCCGCGCTCGACGCCCTTTAGCACCGCCGCTGCCTTGGCGCACTATACCTCGCATGGCGTGTCCCCGGACAAGATTGTGCTGGGTATGCCGCTGTACGGCCGCGCGTTTGAGAATACCGATGGCCCGGGGACGCCATACTCTGGTGTCGGGGAGGGGAGCTGGGAGAATGGCGTGTTTGATTTCAAGGTGCTGCCGATGCCGGGCGCGCAGGAGTATCATGACGAGGAGACGGGGGCGAGTTACTCGTATGATGCTGGGAGGAGGAAGATGGTTACGTATGATACGGTGCACATGGCGAGGAAGAAGGCTGAGTATATCAGGGGATGGGGACTGGGAGGGGCCATGTGGTGGGAGAGCAGTGCCGATAAGCCTGGGCACGAGTCGTTAATTGGGAACGTCGTTCATACGTTTGGTGGTCCGCATGGGCTATTGCGGCGGGATAACTGTCTGACGTATCCCGAGACGAAGTACGACAATTTGCGGAATGGGTTCGCGGGTTGAGGTGTCAAAGAGATAGAACAGAACACCAAGCGATCAAACTTGCAAACATCAACGCCAGTTACATGTCACAATCACGTCATAAGCAAGCAGTGAGACTCAAGAGTGAGAGAATGGTCATAGTGTCATGAAATTGCATCGTCATTGCCAGCCAGTGATGTGTACATCAACGCCCCCATTTTGTGTGCGGCTTTCTGCCGACTAGAATGCTAACCCTGAACCGATCCTCCCATAATTGTCGCTTTGTTTTCCGTAACCTCGCGCCCGCGAAACAAAAAAGGAAGTTTACTCCTTCTTGTCGAAGACGTAGGTGAGGTGGCAGCGGCCGCAGTACTGGCGGTCGTTCATGGCGGCCATGAAAACACCGGCACCGCACTGCAGACAAGTTAGTATCGAGGAGTCATGGGAAACTTTTCATAGTTGAGGGGGAAAACGTACGGTGTCGGAGGGGCACTCGCGGCGAAGGCGCTCGATCTTGCCGTCAGAGTCGACCTTGTAGTACTTGAGGACAGCCAACTTGGTCTTCTTGCGCTTGTGCTTGATCTTCTTGGGGGTGGTGTAGACCTTCTTCTTGCGCTTCTTGGCCATACCACCACGCAGGCGCAGGACCAGGTGGAGAGTGGACTCCTTCTGGATGTTGTAGTCGGAGAGGGTGCGGCCGTCCTCGAGCTGCTTTCCGGCGAAGATCAGGCGCTGCTGGTCGGGGGGGATGCCCTCCTTGTCCTGGATCTTGGACTTGACATTGTCGATGGTGTCGGACGACTCCACCTCAAGGGTGATAGTCTTGCCCGTCAGGGTCTTGACGAAGATCTGCATGATTGCCTACTTGTCACGGAATGTTAGAATTGGTGTCTCGAAAGATGTGGGTGGATAGCAAAGATTGCTGTCCGTCTCCCTCGATGCTCCTCTTTCCACGCTTCGTTCCGGCAGAGTTGGATGTCGATGGCTTTGGTTGGAGGCGGCGGCGATTGAGCTTTCGGCGAAGCAATTTTACAGGCTCGTCAGGCTCGCACGCACGCCGCTCGACCCTGCCAAAGACTCAGACTCTTTCCATTGCGCCCTCTCGATGACCTCGAAAGACGCTCTCGATTTCGCGATTGCGCCTAGGGAGACTCGCTCGAGTGGCGGGCAACAGCGGAAAAATAGAGTCCACGCAAACTCGTCGAAAGACGAAATGCCGGAAAACGAAGGGGGAGTAAGAGGTGTAACGGGCTCAAGGCCAACAAAGAGGGAGCAGAAGCATCTTCAGACGTACCTCGACAATATGTCTATTGCCTTCCTAAGCAGATCCTCAGATGGGTTCGAGTTGGGGATGAGGGAAAATTAAAAGGAAACGGCTGCCGTCTGTCGCAGCGCACGGTAAATCTATCCTGCGCAGGCGCTGGGTGGACCGGGTGGGGGGGTTTACGAGACCTGGAAAATTAGCGAGACCACGTGATCATGATGTGATTCCATTGGCCAACCGCGAGGTCTGGAAATCGAATGTGTGGTGCGAAATGCGGTACGTACTACAGTCCGGAGGCGACTTGCCCGCGTAAAGTGCATCCTCGCCTAGAATTCCAGAGTGGAATTTTTCCAGAGGTGGATCCACGAGCACCAGCTCTCTGCCGCTGCCTCCAGCCCTGGACCAGCCCTCACACGCACGCAGCCTCCACCCACCACCTCCCAGCACCTTTTTCCAAGGCACGTCAAAACCAATTCGCGCCCTGGTCGAAACCCACCAATTGCGATTTTTTGACTCAGCAAGCCAGAAAAGATCAAGTACGTTTCCTCGCAATTGATATACCCTTCTCCTCTTCTCTTTTTCCTCTTCTTCACGGATCTACTAACACACAGTCAGACGTCGCCAAAATGGTCAAGAAGAGAAAGAACAAGTACGACGATACCCTCCTCCGCCCCCCATACACCGCGCTTCACCTGTGCCTCTACCCTCACGTCCCGGTCGTCGACATACGATACCTGGCAATCATGAACTCGCTTGACGACGCCGGCGACTGAGAGTCCAGATGGACACATGCGCAATGATGCCCCTCAACGAACGCGATTACTGACTCGGTTTCCCCTCCCACAGCGGACGCAACAAGAAGGGCCGCGGCCACGTCAAGCCCATCCGCTGTAGCAACTGCTCGCGATGCACGCCCAAGGATAAGGCGATCAAGCGCTTCACCATCCGCAACATGGTCGAGTCTGCTGCCATCCGTATGCTTGCTTCCCCTCTCCACAACGTGGACATCAATGACTGACCATCACTAGGTGACATCTCCGATGCCTCCGTCTTCGCGGAGTACACCGTACCCAAGATGTACCTGAAGCTGCAGTACTGTGTCTCTTGCGCCATTCACGGCAAGATTGTCCGGTACGTTCGTCCGCGGGAGCGACGACTGCAAACCGTCGGTCTGGTTCACACCACGACCGCGGCGCGCAGGCGCTACAGAAGAACCTTGGCGCTACTCGAAGCTCCCATATCCCCCGTGCCCTGCACCTCGGCGACGCAGTCCCTCCCCGCCTGCGGGAGGTCGATTGCCGACCTGACGGTTGCTGGGCCTTGTGAAAGATCCCCCAATGCTGACTTACTCTCCCAGTGTCCGTTCCGTCGTGGGCCGCCGCAACCGCGCTCCCCCTCCCCGCGTCCGCTACAACAAGGATGGCAAGAAGATCGTCCCCAACACCCCCAAGGCCTAAAGAGTTTCTTCTCTACTCGGGTTCTCGGTGTTTCAGGTGTTTGCAATGACGAGCAGTGGATGAAAAAGTTCTCCTTTCAGGCATGGTTTGGGAACCGGATTGGGCTTTATGATGACGTTCATCAATGGAAATCGGGCCATGGCCCTAGGCTAGCAAAGGAAATGCTTCATGACACTGTTCTCTCGCTCCCTGCAATCGCCTTGTGTTTAATGTTCGCTCCGTCTGCTTTCTTTTGCATCAACTGCCTACTCCCTAGTGAGCTCGAAGCCGACATATCTCATGTCGGTCCCCCACCAGCTGGGCCTGACAACACCTCGAGTCCCAATCTGCTCAGACACCACTGTCCTAAGCTTCCACTTACTCCCAGTCTGCTCCGACAGCTCCGCCCACATCTTCTCCCACGTCTCCAAGTTATGCCTCAACGCAGGCTTATTATGTATCCCCGGTAACTCAATCCCATCAGCATGCCCAGCAGCATGTCCCACAATCATCACCCCAGGCTCCTGCTTTAACAACCGAATCACCCGCCTCAGCACAACCATCTGGTTCTCCCTCGTCCATAGGTGCAGACACAGACCCAGGTGCGCGGTATCAAACGTGCCCTCCATGGCGTCTAATCGCGCGTCCCCGTCGTCTAGCATGTCTGCGTTGACGAAGCGCGTTTTGAGGCTGACCCGGTCGCGGAAGAGCTCGTACCCGGCGTCGATGTAGCCCTGCTCCAGCTCGATGGCCACGATCTTGGACGAGTCGATGCCGTCGTAGACGAGGCGTCGGAGGTCTTGCCCGACGCAGCAGGCGATGTCGAGGTGGCGCGCGTCAGGGTTGTCCTGGAGGCGGGCGAGGAGTTGCGGGTAGCCTGGGCGGTGGGAGAGGTTGAAGTCGAGGAAGTGGAATTCGCCGATGCAAGGGTAGGGGAAGACTTCCCAGATCTTGTCGCGCTGTGGATGGTTACATTGTGTGAGTACCATTTCAAGCTGTGTTCAGTGTTGTCTTGTGCCGTGGGAGGTGATCGAGGGATAGAAAGAAGGGAATGGGAGGGAAAGGGAAGACGTACCATGGCTACGACGTGATCTCTGACCTCGTCTGGCGGGATGCCGGCATACTCCTCGAGCATCTTGCGTGCTTCGGGGGAGATTTGGGCCTCGATGGAGTACCACGGAGCCGCCTTATTCCTATCCCCCACGACGATTTGGCTGTTTGCGACTTGCATTTCGTTCATAGCTTGAGTAGCAATAGTATTGTAATCGAGAGATATTGCTTCAACACTCAAACACCTCGTTCCCTCTACTATTACAACGTCAGGCAGGACCTTTTAAAGAGCGCAGCCAAACATCCCAACGGCATTCTCGCAACTCAAAACCTCGCGCAATTACTCACCCCAAAAAGCAACTTCGCCGAATTCGGCTCCGTCAAGCTTCGAAATTGGGACGACGGTACTCGATGCCTGCTTAATGCCGCGTTTCACCGGCGCACTTGGATCGAGCTGGGCCTTTGCGAACTGGTGAACTTTGCTTTTGCCCCTCCTTCCCGGTCGTCTGATGTCCCCCCCCCCCCCTCTACATGTAGTCTTTTTTACTTTCCCGAATAAACCTCGATTTCACATGGAAGGAGCTTCTTCATAATCATTAGAGCGGAGAAGAGAAGTGATCAATCAACTACCGAGAGCTTCCTACGTGACTTCGGGCTACTGTGTTAAAGCCGTCTAACTTACGTTCCCTCCTATTTTTTTCCCCGGAATAGAAATGTCTCCCACCGGTCGCCATGCCACCGGTAACTTGACTACCCCGACATCCTTGTGTAAGGGCGTGTACTCGATATCCGAAATCGGCACGGCGATTCTCAGACTGGGGAGCTTTTGGAAGAGCGTTGCTGTGAAGGGATGTATTAGTTCCGACGCCATCGGTTAAGGTTGGAGAACTGCTTCGGAACGGGGAGGTTTCCGGTTCCCTCCATCCCGCCCGAGTCACATGCCGAGTAAAGAAGCGCATAAGATGCAGAGCGCCAGAAAAGAAAAGATAACAAGAAAACTCACCAAAAACAACCTCGAGCTCCGCGCGCGCAAGAGGTTCGGCGATACACCTATGCGGCCCAAAACCGAAACCCAGCGCGTGGTTCGGGTCCGGTGTTCGGTGCATGTCAAAGACGTCTGGGTCGGGAAAGACGTCTTCGTCTCGGTTGCCGGATTGGGTTGAGGCGATGCCCTCGCCTGCCTTGATCGTCTACGTGAATGGTCAGCGTATCCGGCCACGAAGTCCAACAAACACACAGGCGAAGGAAATCGACTGGGCACCATTGCAGTGGACGAATGCTTACCTTGCCGCCGAGGATTATGTCCTCCTTGGCTACCCTCTTCATCGCCATGGCGGAGCCGGTGTGGTATCTACACAACTCTTCGACGAACGCTGGGGCGAGCGAGGGGTCGGCTTTGAGTTGGGCGAGCTGGGTAGGGTTTCGGAAGAGTTCGATGACGCCCTGAGGTGTTGGATGTTAGTCGATCCGCGGAGCCAAAGGCATGGTCTGCTTCCAAAGTAGCAAGCTCTCAAGATTCGAGACGGAAAGACGGGGGGGAAGGATAGAGGAGGCTAACCAAGGCAATCATATTCACCATTGTCGCATTCCCTGCAGCGAGTAGCAAGAAGGCGATTTGCACGGCGTCCGATTTCTCAATATAGCCGGGTCTGAGCTGTTCTACGACCAGTTTGCTGATGAGGTCGTCTTTGGGCTCGATGTTGCGCTGGTCGACTAGTTTTGCGAGGTAGTTGAGGAGTTCTCTGGGCAACGGGATATCAGTTTCTACCGCCAACGAAATATGTGAGACGGAAAGGGGGATGCGAGGAAATGTCAAGCTGAACGTACTGGTTTGCAGACTGAGCTTCCAGTGCCGTACCGCTGCCGTTGGTTCGGATTGCGTTCTGCTGGGTGAGGTACCATAAGTCCTCAAACGGGACACCGAGAATAGTGTAGATGATCTGAATTTTCACCGTCAGCGGGACCTCAAACCAACTGCAACCTCCTCTTATCCCTGCTCCAAGGTCTAAATCGAAACACTCACATATGAAGGAACAGGCAAGGCAAACTTGTCAATCAAGTCAACCGGCTCGTCGCACCCCTGCCCAACCATCCTATCCAGGAGATCATTCACAGTCTTTTCGATACATGGCTTCATACTCGCAACATGATCCCGCACCAAAAGCGGCTCAACCATACCGCGCTGCTGCATATGCGCCGGCGCGTCCATGTCGACAAAAGTAGGCTTATTCGCGGCCGCTGCTTTCCCGCCGGCGCTGAGCTCGGGGAACCCGACGCGGGTGCGCTCCTGTGCTGTGGTGTTAGCTTCCGCTTCGACGGTGCTTTTTGCCTCTCGTTACCTCAAGGGGACGTGGGAGGGGCGGAGGGATGAGTTGGGTGGGATGACGGGACGGTAGGTACCTTGGAGAGACGTGGATCCGTGGCGACGGCGCAGACGTCTTTGTACTTTGTCGCGAGCCATGCGAGGGAGCCGTCGTAGAGTTTTGCTTGTGAGACGGGCTCTGTTGAGCGGAGGCGGGCGTATTCTGCGGGCTGGTCGAGGCCTGAGGCGCGGTGGAAGGGGAAGTTTGGGGGCGTGGTTGTTGTCATTGTGTTCTGGATGGGATGGAGGCGTGAAGAGTATCGTCGGAGCTTGGTGGCTGTTGAGGAAAGACGGGGGAATGATGCTGAGAACATGAGCACTGTATTGTTTGTCTTTAGAGAACGAGTACGGTAATAAGTTTGTCGAAGAGCTGGTGCCTCTTGTATTTATATTTGGTTTCTTTGCGTCTTGTTTGCGTTGATCCATCCATTCCCTAGGTGTATTCCTTGTTTCTGTCTCCATCTCCAGTGAAGCAGTAAGCGAAACGGCCTCCATCATCCCGAACCTCTCCATCAGCGTCGTGTGCGATGAGAAAGAAGCATGGTCTGATCACGAACGACACTCCCCGACGTCAGCACCCCAAAGCGTGTAATACGGACGACCCGGTTGGTCGACACATCGCAGGGTATGAGCAGGGTGCTGCAGCATGCTAAGTCTACATTGATGTCAACGTCACAACGTCCACGAGGGGGGGAAAAAACATAGGGTGCAAGGGTTCGGAAACATGCGTCCGTAGGGCAAGGCAAGCGGGCAAACTAACTAAGCGGGAACGCGGCGGGGGTCCGCGGAGTTGTCGAATTCTCGGAACCTTGGCCCCACCACCGCAGCCCCGCCGAAGACCCGGAATCATCGGGCGTTGTGGGTCAGATGCTCCGGCTGGCTAGTCATGAGGACTACCGGATTTGGGAAACACCGGACGTTTGAGAGTACCGAGCTGCGAGGGGGGAAATCATCGTTCGTCATCTCGAGTGGGGATGGATGAGGTGTCTTTGCGATGAACTATGTGCAATTTGTTTTTACCTGGATTGGTATTTCGGCATCCATCCCGCCGGCTCTTGGGTACGGAGCATAAAGTCAAATTGTTGTCGATAGGGCTGATGATCTAAGAACCGAATGACGATGGGCGGAACCGGGGTGAGCGATCAGCTCCAAGTGAGTCAATCTGTGCCTCCGACCAGCCCTCAAATACACCCAAGGTCATTCACTTCGGACCCAAATATCAGCAATCATTTTCTCTCCCTCTCCGCGGTGACAATCCCCGGGCTTCAAGGGCTAGAAATCGAAAGCGTTCTACTTAGCAAATAGAACTTTCTTACTCAACAGGAGACACAATAATATATATTACCCCAAAGCACTAGATACAACTCCATCGTGAACACAAGAATAACGAACCCTTGCCGTCGTAAGCTATAGCAAGCTTACCCGGATTCTATCCCTCCACCATTCGAGAACAACCACGACCACGGCTACGAACGTCAGCGGCGACCTCTCGAACCAGTTCAGCACCGGGTTAATAAGCACGAACCGCCGGTCTGTAAACTCGGTCTACGCCCGCTACCACGCAGCGTCGCGCTACACAACGGTCTAGAAGATACGCGCGCACAGCTGCGGCGCTAGGCCGCCGTCCAGGACCATAAAAAAGGATACCGCAAGCATACCCGCAGGGCCGAGAGCCAGGGCCTCTGTGACCCAGAGCGCGACGGCTGATGTGATGTCCCGCGACCTGAGCGCCCGCGTCGCGGCACGATTCTGATGTTCGCACTGCTGGTGGGGCGTGTGCCACCTCTTGTCGATCTGAAAGAGATGCCGCCACAGGTTTACGCGACGCTCGATCCGTAGGAGGGGGGTTTCCTGGCAGAAAGGGATCAGGCCTCGGGCGTGGCTTTCCGGATGCGCTACGGAACGGTAGTCCTCGACGAGGACGATTTTGCGGAGCTGCGCGCGTACGGCGGCGGGGATGGACTTCAAGTAGCGGATCGCCGACGCGGCGGCGGAGAAGCGGTAGACTGAGCCGTCGGACCCGTAGCGGATTGATGAGAGCAAGCGCTTCTCCTCGGCTATCCACGACGACAACTCCTTCAGGTCGGCCGCCGTGGGGATTTCCCACTCCCCAACGGAGCAACGCATGATGCGACTGGAGCGCGTCTCCCCACCCGGTAAGCGATTTTCCGAGATGTTCAAGTACTGGCACCAATGGAGCTGATCATAGTCGCTCGGTTCCAGACGAGACGCGGCTCGAAGGAGGTCGCAGCAGAGCTCACGGAACGACGAGGGCGCTTCGCCGTAAGGCCCGTGGCGATCGTACATATTAGCTCTCCGTAGTACCCAGTCCCCAAAATCCATCCGCTCCAGGACCGGTCGGAAGCGAAAGTGTTTCTTAGTCAGCTCGGCAAGGAGCAGTTGCGCCGTAGGGGTTTCAGTTTCACCAGAGCAGGGCCGTCCGGAGACGGAGGGTTCGTCAAGGTTATTGCCGTCGTTGTTGGCGTCTAGCGATCCTGTTCGTGCCTGATACTCTTCGTAGCTCTTATCTACCAGGAAGCCTCCGGCAAGATGAAACAAGAGTTGCCCACGGCTATCGAGGTTACGCCCGACGAGGCTATCAAACCGAGCAGCCCGTATGCGTAAGCCTTCAAGCGCGACTGCAGAGAAGGGTCCATCTTCCGAAGTAATGGTTGAGAACGTTATGGTGTTGCTCCGCAAGGCAAGATGGCGCATCTCGCTGGCGACGAGTCGACAGGCGTACATCAGGTTCAGATAGGTCGCGGACTTCGCGTGGGATAGAGAGCAGTTGTGAAGCGGAACGCCTTCCGCCGGGGGCGTGGTTCGGGATAGCCATCTCGTCCTTTGCCGCCTTGTCTCGCTCCAGTGCCTTCCGTCGACTCTGTGCAAAAGGAGATACGGAAAAAACACCCCCCCCCCCCCCCCCCCCCCCCCGATCTGATATCAGGAATTGAATGTAGCTGAGGCGATTTGGAGTGTGTAAGTTGGTAGTTGAGAGAGACGTGTGGTCGAAAGGGAGGATGGGAAGCTAAAGTAGATTGCTCTGGAGTCTGCGCACCTTGCAGACTTCCTCGACTCCCACTCCTCCCACTGGACGTCACTGCACCTTTGTACTGCCTTGGATTTTTTTAGAAAAACCTTTATTAAGAAAAAGAAAAAAAAACCAAAAAAGCGATCTGCTGTGGTGATAGCAGTGAATTCCAAGTACCTTGTTATCGAAGAAAAGATTTCATGTGAGTCACAAGTACGAGAATACGGTTTTCATAAAACAGTGTAGTGCCCACCTAGCACTTGAATCAATATATGCCTTTTCAGGCTTGCCTGGAAGAAAGGTTGACTGTAATGATGACTGTTTCCCATCGAGGTTCGCAACTGGCTTGTCGAGCCTTGTTAGCGGGCATGTCCCTCTAATCCTTTAGTGTGAGCGGCGGCGGAGTTGAGGAACAGTGGAGGAGGAGGGGAAGCATGATGTAAACAAGGGTAAAAGTAGGTGCAGACTTACTATTGATGGCTTCAACCGTGATGGCCGAAAAGCCTGATTATGACTCCCTTGACAGACTCTCCTCGAGAGGCATAAAAGCCTTCAAGTCTGTGAGAAGATTGTCAGTAGTCTGGTTCCTGTCTGGGGTTCAAAGGGAAGACGCACTTACTGAGCTGTGAATGCTTGCCAAGACATCAAATTCATCACCACCCATCGGCATGAACAAGCAGAACAAGAAGACAGAGTTGGACATTGTCCTCGAAAACTTCGCTTCCTATAAGAAACATGTTAGTTAAGAAACGCCTGTAATCTGAGTAACAGGATAGACTCACCCTCAAACACAATCCTCCTACAACAGCAACATGGCCATCCCACATAAAAGAGCTCTCAAGGCGGAAAAGAGAGCTTCTGATCAACGGCACAGATGGGAACATCGTTGCTGGACATGGTTCGTCAGTATACCCACTGCAAAATGACATCAGTCTCGAAAACGGAACAAACATACCGGTGGCCTGTCTCGGCGTGACTATCCAGCTAAAGGATAACCGTCTATCGGACCAACGCAAACAATTAAGACGAACGCTCAATTATCTCACATACACCTACCGTCACCTTCGGGATAATATCCCTCTTGATGGCAAACAGACGCAGTGGATAACCGACCTCCACAAACCCCTGTTTTGATATAGAAACGTCAGTGTTTATTACGTATGGGGTCTTGTTGTGTATCAACAACTCAACTGATGCGGAACTACCTCGTCGCCGTCGAGACGGCGATTCTGGCGATCCCTTAACGAAGGGAGAGGGTGGAAAGGAGGAAAGGAAGGTTGACTTGTCTCAAGGGAATCTCGCCCTGTTAGCAATCATCCCCAAGAAATAGTACGACGGAGAACCGACCCAAAAAGAAATCCAGACACAACAGAGGGTAGAAGAGAGACTCACAAAAAGGGCTGAGGTTGAACAGTGCGGAAACCCAGGGGTAGGGTCACGTCTACATGGTTCGCAGTCCAATTGAACTGGTCGATACCGAAATGGTTGATGGCCCAGCGGGAAGCTTGGGCGGCGCCATCGGTGAGTAGACCCTCCCAGGGGTACAGATACCATCGCGGGTTCGCTTGCCACCCTCTCCTGTTCTTGAGAGGTAGTACTGATTCTTTCCTCTTGCAAGTCTGGGCATGCGTAGAACAAGTGACCGGCGGTGTGTTCCCCTGTGGCACAGGGGAACACATCTTGGTCACGATGTCGGTGGCACTGCGAAGCAGAGTCAGGAAAACGGCGACAAACTGTGTTGTGGAATGTAAACGGGGTTGGAAAACGTACCCTTTTTCCAAGACAAGTATGAATTTGAGTCCGATGTGAACCAGTGCGGCACTGGATCAAAATGCTGCTCTGCCCCCCCATTTTTCCCTTTGACCGCAACCCCGGAGTGCGATTGAAGTCTGTTGCGAGACTTTCGCCATCTGGGCGGTGCTCGGAATAAATCTCGCCAGAGCTCTGCACAAAAACCGCGTCGCGTGGCGACCGACATACTTGGTGATCGCAATTCCTCGGTTACCTATGGGGATCAAGTTCCCTCCACTCGGGACGCCTGAGTTTCCTGGTCGTCGTCGTGAGATCATACTCAGCCCCGACTTCGCTGGCCACATCCCTCGCATAGCTGTATGCTACCGAGTAAGGTTGCTTGTCAAACCTCTCGGGCTTGTGGCGCGGATTAAAAAAACAACCAAAAAAAAAAAAAACCACCGTTGGCGCTGGCCCTCCATCAAGCCCGGATCGTTCTCTGTCGAGTGGCACGGGGCACGATGACACACGTCGCGAGCCTTTGGAGATGAACTGCAATAGGCTCAACGTTCAACTCCCTTTTGGAGAGAAAAGTGGATATTGCGCGGTGTAGCCTCACGCCAGAACCCGCTCATGCCACTTCTCGATGGCCTTGCAATTAGCCTCGTAGCTCTTTGAAGTGACAATGATGTAGGTGTAATCAACGTACGAAAGTGCAAATACACGATCTTTCGCCCCGCCTGCTTTATCAAACATCTCGAGGCAAGTGAATGAGGAGCCCACTGAACAGCACCGAGCGTGGCAACTCTTAGGTGTTCGAGGCGCTGTGGACGACCCCTGCGACACTAGCGCTGCCATGCGCGGGTCCTCCCGTCGTCTGCGCCATCCTTGCAGCCCACGTGGCTGTCCTGCCGCATCGAGCACTATTTTACAGAGGCCCGGGCATCTAATTGGTGGGAGCTGCACGCTGTGCTGGAGGTAGCCAGTACTTGGCTGTCTGGCATGGGGGATGACAGCCTCATAGAATAACACAGAATGGGTGATAATTCGAAAAGAAACACTCAGAATAATCATCAGTCGAAAGGGGACATGGTCGGGACGCCTGAGTGGGACAAAGGAACGTTTGGTCCTAGGTAGTGTGAGGGAGTGACTTGAATGAGTGTTGATATGAAAAACAAATGTGAGGTTAGAAAGTCTGCATGGGAATTTTCAGAACATGAACCAGCCAAGTTCTGCAATGCACATACAGCGAACGAACGAGGAATGAGAAAGAATGAAGATGAAGACGAGAGAGATGGCAAGTAAGCAACGAGCTACAGTCAACCACAGGATATATGTACCGTAGCCTGACCATCCCTCCTACTCTGTCTGCGCGGGAGACAAGGGGGTGGGATGGCCTAGCCGAGAGATGCCAAAATCACCCTTTCCCACCTCTATTTTCGCTCATAGCTCGTAGTCTCCACACGCATCGATGAATTCCATGGTACGAAGTTGTTCACACCTAGTTCTTACTCAACTGCGTCCATCAATGAGATTCAACGCGAGAGCGAGTCCGCTTGGTCAATTTGATCGTCAAGTTAGGCATCTGCAGTTGGAATTGCTTCCTCTTCATGACAACTGTTCTATCGTGGCAACTCTGAGTCTCTGACAAGTCTCTTGACTCTCTCCCCAGCCGCATCCCACTCGCTTCAAATGAAAGTCGCTAGCTCTGCCTTACCTAACTCAACAAGGACCTTATTTGCGGGTTTGGGGGGGACTGGCGTGAAAGTTGGTAACAGTCCACGAACCAAGAAGGGAAGAGCTCGCCTTGTGGATTTCAGCGGAGGGAGTCGACCCTTATTGGGTAACGGTCCGCCAGAGACCTCGGTGCGCACTTTTGACATTCTCTTGTGTTTATCCTTTCGTCTCGTGTCCTGCGTCGTCTTTCTTATGAACTACGTACAACAAGGCTTTAATGGTTTTAGAACTCACTATTTGTGGTGTGAAGTTCCGCAATGCTCTGCCAAACTAATTACACACTCTTCAATTTCAACATTCAGGACGCCAGCGCAGCCGCGGGACCCACGGCTCCGCAACTCGGGCTGTCCGGCCCCTTGGCGCCAGCGCTTCACTCAACGCAATCAACGCAAATCTGGCCTTCCAGTTGATTGATTGCCAAACTGCCCTCGAGCAGTTGATTGATTTGATTGATTGCCTTTTTGCTCGTCAGTTGGTTGAACTGCTTGTTGAAGTTAAGTAACTATATTAACTTGCTATTAAGATAAAGCTATTCTTACTATTCTTACTTCTTACCTAGCTATTATATAAACTAGCCTCCTCCTCTATTCTAGACTTAATAAGCTAGCACGTTTATCTTCGGATTCTAAGTAAGAAGTATCTGTCTTCGGATTCTAGGTTTCTCTCGCTAGATCTAGTGCTGAGGAAGATTATGATTATTAGCTAGTGAAGATCCCCTGAGACTAAGGGTCTTTAACTGCCTTATTTATCCCTTTTTTAACTAGTAAACCACTACTAAACCCTTAGACTAAGACTCTTTATCCTCCTTCTTTTTATGCCCCTAATAGTACTGTTACGACCCAACATGCATGACCAAGACCAGGGCCTGCCCCGCAGGCTTACGGCGGCTACGACACGCCATATATGCAGACACAGGAGTCACCACAACGGAACAGAAGAACTATAGACAAGTCACGTGATGATAAGAAAGGACCGACAGACGACAAACGGTCCATGATATGGACCGACAGGATAAAGGCGGTCCACCCCTGTAGGACCGACAATACGATGTCGGTCCCAACCACAAAGGAACTGTTCAATGGTATACGGGACTTGTATATAAGGATGGACTTGAGCTGGACTCTAGGACAGACTTTCCATAGCTTCTTCAGCAATTAACTTCGTATCAGATCTTATGATCACTTCTAGCTATCTTCCCTGAGAACCTCTTTGACAAGACTACGATTGATCACCGAAGCCTTCCCTTACCTTACGACTTACAGACATAGCTTCCCTGAAGCTGTCCCCGACTACGAATACTGTTATCAGTTCCGCAGCCTCAACTTCTGCAAACATACCTCACTACGACTAGCTGGCCGTAACAGGTGATCTCCTGTAGCTGAAGTTACCTTTTAATATGTAAAGAACTATGGCCTTCCTTTCTAATTATATCGATTATAATACTAAACGACCATTCTTAATAATTTACTTGTGACCTTAACGAGGAAGACCCTATAGAATTTGATAAAGAAGGTCCTCTTCCTTATCTTATGCTTGTAGAGCTGGCTCTTAAGGATATACTTCTTATTAAGCTAGAGGATTATAGGTAGGTTATTAATATCTAGGTGCGATGGTGTGTTGGTTACAGATTCAGCTACCTGGACTTTTGTGGTAATGGTTCGGGATTGACGAAGGAGTGAGATAGTATTGGATGTTAATGGAGTAGTCATGATGTTGATTATGTTGATGGTAGAAGGAGGAAGACAGAGTGGACTAGGTAAAAGAGGAGGGAGGAAGAGAAAAGGAGCTCTTTGGCAAGGGGAATTCAGGGGGGGGAAAACTCTGCTTAATACTATGGAATGTGGGTATTAGCAGGGGGTAGTTAGCAGAATTACGGCACTAGAACATCTATTAATCTAGCCAATTTATATAATCAACTTCAGCCCCTAAGTTGAATTGATTGAGGGCAGATTTCTGGCAGTTGTTTGTTTTGATTGTTGAAGTTGCATTGAGTGAAGCGCTGCTTGGTGCGTTGGCGCGTTGGCATTCTCGCAACAATCCATACGCACACGCGACCCCATGATCCATCACCCATCATCAAAAAAAATCAAAAAAATCTATCAAATAAAGAGACAAAAACGGGATACGGGAACACGAGTGCAATCTCTCCCACAAAGCGATGCAATCAACATCAATTAAGACTTACCTTTTTTTTGACTCTTCTCAATGTCTCAAGATTTCCCCACTGTAACGGACTCACGAATCACGAATGCGAAATAACTAGCGGCTCCAACCCTTGCTCCTGGACTACTAAGTCCCAAAGTGCCTAGACACCCCCGTAATGAATCAGACACACAGGTGCTAGCTCCTGTGTCCCGATGGGATGGTACGCTCCATCTCACTGGCGCGAAAACATCACTAGTGTACGAATCGGAAATCGAAATCGAACCAGAGTTGCAAGACTCTTGGCAAGTGTTCGCTATTAATGATCCCGGGATTCAGGGATGGATGCCGGTGGGCGGGCAGGCGGCGATCATCGCTCCCCCCCAAAGGAACCCGGCCGGATTCCGCCTCTCATCAAATCACCTCGACTCGTTGTTTTTCCTTAATGGAATGAATTGTTTCTTGGGTCTGGACAGCTACATCATTGCACTTGATGCTGCATTTTTGATTTCCACACCTGCATAGTCGAGAGGTTGCAGTGTCGACGGATACACCACCCACATACAACGGCGGGAAAAGACGTTGTTGCGGAAATAAACAACTTTTTAAGCTTAGGTTTAGTTCAACGACCTAAGAGAAAGAGAGTTTTGGTTTTTTCTGGTCCATTTCCTACGTATGCTTAAATAAGCGTGTGCACTTTTTGGCAGTGCAAAGCAGAAAGGCAGCAAAAGCAGCAAAAGCCTAATGCTTAATGCGAATGCAACGTTCCAATGTCTATAAAAAAAAAGTCCCTAAACTCCACCAAGATAATTACACTAAAGTCGGAGTAGACCCGCTCGAGCAGCAAAAAAAGAAGGCAGAAAAAGAAAATGAGAAAAGAAGGAAAAGAGACAACAGAGTCAGAGGAGTCAACGAGTCAACTTCCAAACGCAGCAAATCTGCCCAAATCTCAAGTTCCAAACCCCCACAAACCGCAAACCGCAAAATCTCAATCTTCACGATCGCCACCATCTTCAACCGCCTCAACCTCAAGCCGCAACCTCTCTCCCTCTCTCCGTGTAAGTGACCAAGCAACCCTCACCCTCAATCCTTAACAAGCCACACGCAAACAACAGGCTTCCCCCCCGGAACCCCACTCCGTTCCCCATCCCACCCAACCTCCTTGACCGTCTTCTTCATCATATCCTTATCATCCCCCGAAAAACACAACCCTTTATACCACCGCCCATTCCCCGCCTGCACAATCTCAAAGCACTTATTCTTCTTCGGATTCGCGTTCGTCGCCCCGAACCCCTTTAACACTTCTGCGAGGGTCGTGTTCACGGGAACGTGAAAGGCAGAGAACTGGATCCGCGCGTTGTTGGGGAGTTGCCACGGCGGCGTGCTCGTCCGAAACACGTGGATCTTGGTATGCGCCGCGGGGAAAAAGTAGTTATACCCCGGTTCGCAGCCCGTTCCGCCTGTAGAGTTGGAGAGGTGCGCTGCTGGGTTGCGCGGGTCGAGGGATGGTAGACCGGTTGCTGTGCGCGGGGTGTATGTTGCTTGGCCGCCTGGTTGGAGGGGGTATGAGCTGGGGGAGTAGTAGCCTCCCTGTTGCTGCTGGACGCCGCCTCCGGGCCAGGCGTAGGCTGTTGAACCCGGGTAGGGCTGGTAGGATGTGGTCGCCGCGGGGTAGTATCCGTAGTAGTAGCTCCCGTGGGGCGGGGCCGGTGCGCCGTAGCCGGCGTGCGGGATGTAGGGCTCGCCCCAGCGCGGGAGGGGCGCGCCGGTTTGGGGGCCCCAGGGGGGGCGGCGGCCTTCCATGTCTGGACCGTTGACTGGGTTGGACATTGTTGGTGGTGGTGTGTGTGTAAGTGGAGCGAGGTAAGGTAGGATCAGATGTGGTGGTTGTGGTTTGGTTGCCAGGTGTTTACCCAGTTTCCGAGCCCGTGGTTGAATTCCGTGATCCAAGTGCCGGGGACGGGGCCTGCGTGTGACGGGTCCCAGAGGTGGTGCGGGCGTGTTCGATATTCGTACGTTGGGACGTGTGATGGTTGATGGTATGCGCTGCCGGTCTGAGCGAGGTTAAGGCTGCGAGAGAATCTGTCGTTCAAGTCTTGGCCGGTGTTTGAATCTGTAGATGCCAAGAAAGAATAAAGTCAGCAAGATGGGAACATCGACGGGATTATATATCCTGTCCAAACATCCCAAATCGTGGGTTGACTGGCAGTGAATAACCACCACCCATGAGGACAGTACACAGTGACTCACCCGAATCCGAAAACTCGACAAACTGCTCGTCGTCGTCGTCGTCGTCGTGTCTCCGATCACCGCGAGTGTCACGCTGAAAGGCAAAGATCTCGGTGCTCCAGACAATATTGTTGTGCTGGTCGTAAAAGGTGCCGACGATAAGGTAACCCCAAAAAGGCGGGTCGCGCGAGCAGTGCCAGTACTGCGCGATGATGAGCTTGGTTGCTGGGTAGGGCAGGTACTCTGGCTCCTCCTCCTCGACGTCGCGAGACTGATGAGACGCCACGGTGGCTAGATGTTGTGTGTGTGTGTGTGTGTGTGAATGAGAAGACGTGGTTGACTGCTTGGGTTCTGGTAACCCAAGGTATACGGAGCTTGAAGGCTGTGTGAGAGGAAGCATGCGGATGTTGACGAGGAAGAGTTTGGTCAGTCATCTTGGTCTAGATTTATATGGCATTGAGCAGTTGTGTGAATCAGTGACTTGAAGCTTGCGGGGAATGGGACATAACTATGTGAAAAGACACCAGTCAATGTTGAATCAGACGATAATCAGTGACTTGATGGTGATGTGCGGCAAACAACTTGCTAGTTTCATTTTCTGTCCATCATAGTTGAGATGAGCTTGCAATGTGCTCGCATACGACAGTGAATCATTGCCATGGCGGAGTGTAAGGAGCGAGTTTGGTGAAGGCCATCGCAGTTTTTTGCGTCAAGCTCGTTTGCAAAGTAGTCACATGAACATGGAGAGGGAATTGCAAAAGTCTTGAGTAATCATTATATGTTTTCATTGGGTTGATTGTGTGCAATGAGCTTCTGAACTGCCTCTGGCGCCCGTATGTCTGCTGTGGCTAACTGTGGCTGAATGTGGCTGAAGCTATTGAGATCTTTGGTAAGCTTATGTAAGCAGTGCCAACAGGCCATGGATTCTCATGCTTGTTTGCTCCTCTGCCTCACAAGCCTTACTCATGTTCAAGAGCCCAAAGAAAACCAATGCATGTGCGCAGTCGACGCGGAACTAGTATTTCCACCATGACCCTGACTTGTGTTGTTGGCCATCACCCAACATGTCAACTGATGATGGTCGGCGCAAGTCGACATGACTGTCTCCACCAAGTCATTTCGCTAGGCCCTCGTAATTTGGTGACTTTGGCCGCTTTGCGTTCCCATGACTTGAGATGCCGTGGGCGAGGCTGCTGATACTGGCGAACATGACGTTTCCCGTGGCCAGAGGAGAAGCTCCCAACACTGTCGGTTGCGGAATAGTGCTGTAGCTTCCGTTCGGGTGATTTCGCGCGGAGGTTTGGCGTTGTAGGGCGCCGTGAATGATCCATCTGCCGTTCTCACAAGTTCTGAGCTCCGAGATTCCCGTCATCCATAAGTCCCGTCGAGTGCTGAGCCCATGTCGATTGAGAAACGCGCAAACTCCCGTTAGCTGATGACTCGGAAAAGGTCAAAGGCTGAGTGAGCCCAAATCCTAGACAGCCTCAGTCCTCAACCTCAACGTCCTCCTCGACAACCCGCACAGCACCGCCCTTGATGCTAGCCGCCCCTTTGACAGAGTTCTTGAGCTGCTCAACCTCCTGCCTCACCATCTTGCGCCGCTCCACCTCGGTAACGAGCCCCTTGAGGTACACCTCAGCCTGCACGGTAGCGCTATACGACATGGCCGTCCAGCTCCACACGTTCCTCCTCTCCGCGTCGGCGCCAGCGGCAAGCAGAGTCCTCAGAACGAGCAAGTTCCCGTTACTGCTCGCGAAATGAAGCGCCGTATTACCATCCAGATCCGCCCTCTGCACGGCGGCGCGCGCGCCCTCGGGTACGTACGTCAGCAGGATCTGGAGCACGGTGTCGTGCCCGCCGCGGCTCGCTTCCATGATGGCGTCGCGCCAGCGTATGTCGCGCCGGAGGATGACGTGCGGGGTTCGTTCGCAGAGGAAGTGGACGACGTCGGTGTGGCCTGCGGCGGCGGCGAGCATCAGGGCTGTTTGGTGGTGCTCGTTGAGGGCTGGGTCCGGGTGTTCGTGGCCGTGGTCGACGAGGACTTTGGCGATGGGCAGGTGGCCTAGGGAGGCGGCGAGGTGGAGGTTCGAGTTGGAGAGGGCTTCGGGGGAAGGGTCTGGGTTGTGGAGGAGGCGGGGGTGGGATTTGAGGATTCGTTTGACGAGGAGGGGGTCGTTTGCTGTGATGGCGCGTCGGACGCGGAGGGAGGGTTCGATCCTGGAGGGGGAGAGGTTACCTGGAGTTGTTCACGCGTGGGTGTTGGGAAGGAGGGGGATAAGGGGAGAGCTTACATGATGGGCGTGGATGAGGTCGGTCGGAATGGATTTAACGAGTGTGGCTTGGTCGAGCGATTGGAGTGTTCAACGGCAGCATCGCCGATGGTGATGTTCTTTTTGCTGCTGAAGCTATCTCCAAAAGAGAGGCGGCCGACGTGAGGTGGTGGGAGCCGGTGGGAGCTGGTGATGACAGAGACGAGAAAATGGGTGGCAGGTGAACAGGCAGGAAAGAATGAAGTGACAGCACGGCAGACGGCAAGTTGGGACGAGATTGCCAATAGGGGGCTGCTGATGACAGGCCACTGCCCGGATTTAGTGCACGGCGCCTGGAAGGTCCCTGTCACGAGCTCTAAGAACAGGGAGGAAGACAGGGATGCTTCAGGGGTGGGGGGAAGCAATTAGGCGACACGCCGTCACCCGTGGACCCCGGGGGAGTACCGGCGGGGAAAAGGCGGGGCATTCGGCGCCACTGCCGCTGGTGCCGACGGGAGCTCACCTTGATTCTCTCTCTCCGGTCTTTCGGCTTGTTTCCATCTGTTCGGTTTCCCACCATCATAACGAGTTCAAGTGCTTTTTTTTTCTGTTTGTTTTTTTCGTAAAGAAATATGTGAGGACCATGGAAAGCCTGTAGTCTGCAATTGAGTTTGGGCACTTGGACACCCGCATGCATGATTTGATGCGTCTGATGTATCTATCCTGGGATCCCGTCTGTGTGTACAGCCAAGTGGCATTTAGTCATCGTGCTGATATCTCACATTGATAATAGCACTTTAGAGGCAGCGCAACAATTGTCTGAGCATTTACGCACGTAGACCAAGACACCTGTCAATGATTGCATCCCTCACCCATCGCGCATCAGCTGATACTCAAGCACTCATTTGACTGATTCTACTCTACGGAAGCCCCGTTGTATAACTCTATCCTCCAACGCCGAGCGGTATGCACCCATCACTCATCCACAACCTAAGCAACATACGGCGTCCCAAAAGGCTGCAACTCCAACCCCTCGATATCAATATACCCAAACTTGCTCCCATCCTCATTCTTCCCCATCTCCTCCACCCACGTCCCCAGAGACTTCATAAACACATCCTTGTACTTCTCCTGGCTCACATCCAACGGCTCCCGGTCCCGTCCGATAAGCCTCATCTGCGTGCCCGCCAACATATTCGTCAGCCCGAAATCCTGCTCGCCCAATAACGTCTCAATCGCAGCCGACACCTCCCCAGCAATAATCTTGCGCGGCAAATCCACCTCGTTACACGCAGGTCTCGCCAACCCGATTCCGTGCACCGTATTCAGCGCCTCCACCATGGCAGGCACCGTCCTCAACCCGCCCGTAACGTAGGCCTTGGTCTTGGTGAGCTGCGGGATAATCTTCTCGGCGAAATCCAAAAAGAACGCCTCGCGCATCTTGGTCGACTCGCGCTTGTGCTCAAAGGCGAGGGACTGGTAGGTTCCTCCGGACAGCTCGACGAAATCGAAGCCGTGGGCCTCGAGCGCGGAGCAGAGGTCCCGGCAGTCTTCGGTCGAGAAGCCTTCGTCTTGGAACTCGACGCTGTTGACTTTGATGCCGATGCTAAAGGTCGGGTCGGGGACGCGGGCGCGGATGGCGTCGGCGATTTCGAGGATGATGCGCGCGCGGTTGGTCAGGGATCCGCCGTACTGGTCGGTGCGCTTGTTTGTTGTGGGCGAGAGGAATTGCGCGAGGAGGTAGCCGCTGTGTAGATGTCAGTCGTGTTGCTCAAGACACATTACGAAAGAAAGAGAGGAGGGACGGGAAACTCACTGTGCGCCGTGAAGCTGGACTCCGTCGAAGCCAGCCTTGTACACATACTCAGCCGCATGCGCAAACCCACCAATCACCTTTTCAAAATCCGCCTTCTCCATCGCCCTAGGCTTCGCGAACCGCATACCCATCACATCCCCCTCAAGCTGCACATCGCTCGCCGAGATCGGGGTAGGGTTAATCTTCTGCTCGACCTGTCTGCCCGGATGACTGAGCTGCGCGTGCAACAGACTGCCATGCGCCTTGGCCCCCTCGGCAATCTTGCGGAAGCCTTCGAAGCGCTCGCCCTCAAAGGGCGCGCCGAGCGGAATAATCGGGTTGCCCGCGGCCTCGAGCTGGTCGTAGTCGAGCATGACGTTGCCGGACAGCAGGACGCCGAAATCGCCCTCGCCCCAGCGGCGGTAGAGGTTGATGAGCTCCGGGCTGGGGATGCCGCGGTTGGAGGGGGTTTTGGGGTCCCAGGAGGAGAGGCGCTCCGTCATTGCGCCCTTGAGGAAGCGGTTCTTTGCGACTTTGCCTGAGAAGGCGAATTTGAGGGGTTCGGCGAGGGGTTTGGGGTCCACGGCCTCGGCGGCGTATCTTGAGGGTGCCATCTTGGGTGGTTTGTGTCTGGGTGGTGGTGGTGTTTTTTTAGAAAGTTGTAACAGTCTAATGCTGGAGGGATGAACGTGTCTGTGGGTGACTTTGTCCTTGATGCTCCAAGGTCGTCTTTGAGTCTAAGGTGAGGAGGGATGAGGCCTTTTGTAATTTCTCAATGAGCCGCATGTCCACTTGTTTTGATACCTTGTTTATTCAGCTTTAACAGCGGAGCCCAAACTGACGTCCACCGCTCTGAAACCCGCGCGAACAATTGCTTTGTAATTCGAACCTGGTTTTTTGTCCCACCTCCCCGCCACGCCACCTCGTGGAACGATGTACGATGATTCTGCTCCACCCGGCATTCGGAGTCTCTACAGCAGATGACTCTCGTCGTTCCAGATCTTTTGAAGAATGTAACCTAGAAGAGTCTACGAGAGCTGGAGGGACTCGACATCTGCATGCCAGATGCAAGTACCGACCACAACACCCAATCAAATCCTGCTCACCGCCGGTGAGCGAATCAATGACCAAAGTCCCTGAATCCAACAGGAAGCTTCTTTCATCAAAACTTCATGGTCCCTCGGCTCGGCTCCTCCAGGCTCGGCCAGCAGTCCGTTCGAATTGCCCCTCAGAGACGGCCCAGAAATGCACTAGGGGTCGTGTGCGTCATGGTGGGGTACTAACGCAGGGGTTTCCCGCGTTATGAATGGTCCAGTTTTTTAACATTACGGTACTGCATCTGCGGCCGCAGCAGCCGCATACTACGAAGTACAGATTCACAGCGCGATTTGTGCCGTTTCGGAACTTTGGTGCTGGTGCTCCCTCTAGGCTTCTATTCATAAGATCTTCGTAACCCCCCGTGCCCTCCTCCGCCAAGCTTTGCGTCAGATTTCTAATCTGACGACAGGGGAAAGGCAGGGGGGGATCAAATGTCCGCACACTAAAATTCTCCGTGGAATTTGCGGATCGGGTGAACCACCTTTCCGGCCGGCTCCACTGAGTCAAGTTTGGTGCGTGCTGAATCAGGTGCTGGATCAGGGATGCTCTCAAAATTTGGCCTCACTTCTAATGACCTCATTCGGTCTAGAACCTACATCTAGAGAAATGTCACTCCTTAGGGCGTTGTACCTCTTGGCGATTTTTAATGGATAAGATGATAAAGATGGAGGCTCAAATCCCATTGTGTTGTCGTCCGCATTCTCGTTCTCGTTCTCGTTCTCGCTTACCTAAGGTACGTAGAGCGCGGGATATGAATTCCGCCTGTGTAACCGTGGTTTGTGTGCATCGTCCCAACTACGCACCTCATGTAAGAAACTCATCTCTGCATTCTGGTCCGGCCCGTCAACTTCTATCCGGGTTCCTGCCGGATTCAATCTTGATCCCACCGGGCGAAACCCATCTCGTACTAGGAACAATCGAAAGATCATCTCGGCCATATACGCAAATCTCGTCCGTCGGCGTGTTATACATCCGCAGTGCGAGGCCCCGGAGCCCGGCCGGTGGACGAACGGGTGCAAAAAGCATCGTGGGCCTCGAGGGAGGCAAAAGATTGCGTCGAGGGGGAATCGAACCCCCGGCTCCCCGACGCTGCTTGATGGCAACGGAGAATTTTACCACTAAACCATCGACGCTGACGATGATTGGATTCGGCTGTGAGGCCGAAGATCCGCTGGTGCTCAAGTTGGACTACTGGAGGTGTGGTTGGCCACGATGTGGTGAAGCTGGCGAGTGTGGATCGTAGTGGGGAGGACAGCTGGCCTCCTTGCAATAGCTGAACGACATTCTCTCTCCTGCGAGATTCGCGACTGAAAAATACCTCCAGAGGCTACTACTTCGTTGCTAGGCGTCTTTGCATTGCGGTTTTGAGAGTGAAAGGGTTGTGGTTGCGAGATGAGGATTGATCACGGCCGACTCAGCCCCCAACGGATGACCCACAACCTTAAATTCAACTACGAAGCTGACGTAACCTAGTCGTCTAAGTCTTGTAAGTCGATGCTGATGTGAAGAATGTGAATGGGACCGGAATATTCAACCTGGGGTTTGAAGCTTAAGCAACAAAGCGTCTTTGCTGTCCAATCGCAAACTGCTATTCTACTGTTTCTGTCGGAACGGCAAGGCTGATAAGGAGCAATGGTTAGGTATCGTGGGCTGGCTGGCGCCTGCCCTGGGCGAAGTGGGACAACCGGCTTAGTCATCACGGCCGGTTAAGGTGGGGCAACCACCCAGGCCGTTCCCACCTACTTTGATCGGCCCCTGCCCACAATGTAAATAGGAACAAGAACAACAACAGCAATTATCACGGACATCGACGTGATTGTTGCCGAAGATACACCCTCATGAGGAAATGTATCACACCTGTGATACCAACAGTTTCGTTTTAGGTTATTTGCACGCAGGTCTAAAAAGTATTGTTTAGCGCGAGTTAGACTACCTTAGGCAGCACAGTGTTCGGCTGTCAAAACGCAACTAAGCTACAGATTGAATACAAACCTAATTTGCCACTGACTAAGGTACTTTGGTTACTTGGGTAACTAACAACAGGTTGGGCTCTTGAGGTATGCTACCTTTTGCTATGGGAAAGCCGTTGTTGTCCTACTTTACTTCCATCGGTTTCCACTCTCGATAAAGTCCCAGCTAAGGTGAATAGATGTTCGTGCTGTGTCAAGTTTTAAGAATATCTTTATCGCCGAGAAAGACCCCGAATCCCCGTCAAAAGTGCCAACGCACTCAGTCTGATATTTGTATTGATTTTGTGCTGAATTTATGAGCAATGCACTTTCTCGAACTTCCTCTCATTCTCATTTCACATCCGAGGAATAGTGACACGTGAAAGACAATTACCAGATCCCAAGTACCTTCTTGATGTTTTTGAAGGCCCCTTGGAGCATGCGACTTTGCCCTGGACTGTGCTCGGGTCACGGTCTTGCCACGCAAGTCGGCCGGACGGCTGTAAACTGTCATGCTCATACAGTCTCGTATAGTCCCGACGTGTTACAGAGATGGGAGTTCAGAGGTACTAGGCTCCAAGTTCATTAGTGGGAACCAAGCGCCATCAAAACAGCTATTCCAACAGCTTTTGAGGGTACTAAATGTGACAACCCGTGTTTGAGAACTAGAAACACAAGCTAGGAACGACTTATTGTAATAGAAAACCCTCTATTTACTTTCTGTTCTTTGAGTCCAAAAGATTCTGAAACCAGTCGAAAATCACCTGATTGTGCTGCTTAAAAGCCCCAATCCCACAATGCTCGCCGATCCCATCCTCCTCCGTAAAGTGATGCAAGCAAGCCCACTCCCCCAACGCCTCCGCAAGAACAGCAGCCTGGCCCTTGAAGAACAAATCATTCTGCGCATCACCCACAAAAACAGGCGTCCGGATCTGGTCCACCACGGGCTCCATGCGATAATCCAACGACAACGTCACAAAGTCGTACGCGGACTCGGTGTTGAACGCCCACATACCGTGCCCGAGACCCCAGCGCAGCGGAGCGGGCACGCCGGGCTGGAGGAACCGTTTCGTGTACTCTTCAAAAGCTGCCTTGTCGCCCGAGTCGTAGATGGCCATGGCTTCGGTGCTTAGGGTGGCATTTACGACGGCCGGCCAGTCCCAGACGCCGTCGACGGCGAAGATGGCGGCGAGACGGTGTTCGAAGGCGGCGGCGCGGGGTGCGAGGTAGCCCCCGAAGGAGAATCCGAGGAGGCCGATTGAGGTTGGGTCGACTACTTCGGGTTTCTCGAGGAGCCAATCTACGATGGGGGTAATTACCCGTTCCCAGTCATAAATGAAGCCGACTTCTTGGTATCGACGGACGGAAGGCATGCCGGGTCCCTCGTAGGTCAGGACATTATACCCTCTCTCGAGAGCAGCGGCGCCCATGGCGTGATACATCTCCTCCTGAGACCCATCATACCCGTTCCCCATAATGATTGTCGGGCGCTGCGTCACCTCTTCATCCGGAGTAAACCAGATACCCGGGATATCAAAGTCAGCCGTCTCAATCGTCACCCGCTGATTCGGCACCGTCAATAATGCGAGACCCTCATCAAACGCGGCAGTCTGGTTGCCCCATAACTCGTAGATGCGGGGATCCGAGGCATTCTCGTGGAGGTAAAAATCCGCGCTGCGAAGGTATGTCGCCGCGGCGAAAAAGGCGCTGCGCGCGGAGACGGGGAACTTGGTCTTTGCGATGCTTTTTGCGCGGTCGAGGACGCTGTAGGCGAGGGTGGAGAAGGCGCTTGCGTAGCTTGCGAAGTCGCCGGGGATGATTCTGTTGGCGGTGGTGAGGACTTCGCCGAGGTCGGCGCCGTCGTAGACGGATTGGCTGAGGGCGCGGAGGATTTCAAAGTGGAATGTGTGGTCGGCGCTGAGCTGGTACATGGAATAGTTTGTGCTTGCCATGATGGGCGGCTTGTTGCGGTAGACCTTGTGTGAAAATGTCCTTGAGGTGAGCACTGAGCTTCACTGGATGTTATCCATGGTGTGCCGTTGCTGTGAGGCTCAGCGGATGATTTATACGATGCCAATTCTCATGATCAACATGTTGACCCCGCAGTTGTCAGCAAATGTGAAGAGAAAGTGCAGTGGGGGCTGAATCCTTTCAAAAGTTCAACCGTCCATCAACTTGGCTGATTGCGAGGCTGGCCGGAATGTAACGTCAATAGAGACATATTTTGTCAGTGGTATCTGACGGCATCCGCCCGGTGGTAGATTATCAAACCAGGATTACAGGCATAGACGTCAATGTGGACGAATTGGCTGACGAGATTGGCTTACCGACTGCAAGTGAGTGGCGGGTGCTCCCGGAGGATCAAGCATCGGGAGGGGGGAGACTTGGCGTAAGCATTGCGTCGTCAGTCAGCATTATCACCCGCGATGCTCGGGATTTCAACTCACTTGTGTCGCTGTTTGGTTCAGAAATTGAGCCTTGCCAATGTTATTGCCGTCTCTGAGATTCAGACAAGTACCTCGCTAGGCCTTTCCTCTGTCTTCAGGGGCAAAACTAACGTCGCAGATTCATAGCTGTTGACCTGTTCAGTTTTTTTCAGGGGTATGTCAAGTCGCATTTGATCAATTGGCATAGAGACACCAGGAGTCACACTGGTAGGGTGCAGGTAGTCAGTCATAGACTACTAGAATCCTTTTTGAGTCTCGATTTAGTAGATAGATTTGTAGCCTTTACTCTTACGGATGAGGCTTTTGTTATCAAGAAAAATGTGCTGATTATATCGCAAGGAACCATGCTTATGTCCACAAATCTCTAGTACCCTCTGGGAGGTTGAGACTGCTTCAGACTTTAGTAACAACATAGTAGAACATGCCCCAATCATGTTTGAGGAATCTGGGGCGTCTCATAACTCAAAAGCCAAGCCAGGAAGTACGAACACGGGAGGAGAACACAGGCTAGTAAACCTCAAAGAGACGAGAGAGGTCGAATGGATGCCAATGTCTAGCTGGCTTCTCCCCGAAAATCTTACTTCGACAAGTCTGGTTCAAGCGAAAATTCGGCCTCGCATCGTTACCTCGGCGGCCGAGGAAGACAGAAAGACTTACTGAAGCGACGATGGAAAACGTCATGAAGTTTCGGAGAGATTCAGGGCAATGAAGTTACCAAAGTAGAAAGTGAAACTTTTGGTATGAATCGAGAATTATCGTGAATTTTCGCAAATCTCACATCATCCATAGACGGCCCTATCAGAGCGAGACGAGCACATGGCATTGTGCATAGTATGGTCCTGGTACCGAAAAGGTAAATTGGCGATCCTTTCTGAAAACGGAAGTTGTAAGCACTGATTACTTTGTCGCCAATTCAACACTGGATGCTGGGTGGCAACAACGAATGGTTGCTCGAGGAAACACCGTCCAGACAAAGATGTTCGCGTTCGGACGGGAGTACTGATTTGACCAATCAACCAAGACATCGAGTATATTGATGGGGAAATATTCAAGACCGACGCCGGTGTGACCTTTTCGGACCAAGATTCGAGAGTCTGTTCGCGCCCACGCACCTATATTTCGCAACTCACGGGCCACCAGAATGACACATGCAGGAGCAGAACCTAAGTAGTCTCAAGATCGATCCTCTGTATTTTCGGACCTAGTGTCGTGAATCTCGGACTTGTCCCCGCTTCATAGTAAGCCAAGTATCTCTTAATTTGAGTGAGTTCTCATAGAACGGAGGCCGAAAACGGCTGCCACCGTAGTATTCCCTCCCTGAGTGTAGCAAGTGATTCACAAACATGTGTCAACATTACCGAGTGACGATATTCATTCATTTAATCAATAATGTCGTCGTCCCTGGACGTCTTGGTTCTAGCAACCCGCAAATTTACTTACGGGCAGTGCAGACCGTGAGAAATGACTTGATTTACTTGTAGCCGTATTATGAATACTCATTCGCAAACACATCAATTCTACATTAGCGGCGCAGCAGCGTCAAAGCACAAATTCCGTGAAGCCATTTCACTTCCAGATGCGACGGAAGTTCAAGATATGTAATCTTGAATTAAATTAATGCACTTTCAAGGACGTTGCTTTCTCTATCACATGTCAAACCCTACCCTGTCAGCTCCCCGATCGTTACACCAATTTCAATCGAGAACATTTCTGACATTCCATGAAATAGCACCTGCAATTAGAAATACCTCTTTTTTGCAGAGATTGAGAAGCCGCGCCGCTACGGTTTGCGTGTGCTGAGGTACTGGTTCAGCATTCGGCTCACGATGGAGCTATGACTTCGCTCATTCACGGCATGACTAAGTACGAATTGATAAGGGACCTCTTGAAGTGACGTAAGCTTCGGGGCACTCTGAGCCTTTCTCCTCAAGTAGACTACAGAATGGGTAGTAAAAGATGC